AAGATTTTATGCTAATAATAGCGCAAAACTTTTTATTACTCCATCAAAAGTTTCTGTTCCAGCACCTTATACATTAGAAGGGGATTTAGTGGATACATCGCAAAAAGATATGAAATATGATATTGAAGAAGCAGACTTCAATTTTACAAAAATAGTAAATAGCATTAAACCTCATACTTTCAAAATGAAAGAAGAAAAAAAAATGGGAATAACTAAAAGTCATATAGGTTTTATAGCAGAGGAGGTAGAAGAAAATATACCAGAAAAGGTTGAAAATATACTTGTGAAAGTGGATGGCATTAAGAAATTAAGTTATGTCAAGATGGGAAGTATCACTTGGGGAGCAGTAAGAGAATTAATTGATGAAAATGAAAAAATGAAAAATCAAATACATCATTTAGAAAGTTCAGTTTATGAATTACAAGAGATGATGAAAGACCTAATGAAACCTAAACCAAAGGCAAAAACAAAGGCAAAATCCAAAGATGAAGATGAAGATTAAAATATCTAATAATATATATGGGAAATAAACAATCTACAGTTGAGAACGGTTGTATTCAAGAATTGAGTAAAATTAATGAAGAAGAGTTAGACATCTCAAGAATAGATAAATTACAAATAAAAGCCTTAAAAGAAATCAACAGCAAAATTGAAAAATTGAACAAGGAAAAGCAAACAAAAATGATATATGCTTTGCCAAAAATAGATGTCTGTAATTACAGCCTCTTTTAATTTAATAATATTAGCTTGAAAAATAATATTATCAAATCGTATCATCAACTAATATCCTTTTGTCATATCTAATCATAAAAACCCTATTAATATCACTCTCCATCAAATTTACAAATAAAAAACTAAACCTATCTTCAGTTGCCAGTTCATAAATTTCTAGTAATGTCTTTTTAGCACTGTTGATATTTTTATCGTCCATCAACAAGTTTTTCTTTATCAATAGCGCTGACAATTCTTCAATCATTGTCTGTATCTCCTTATAGTTTCTCATTTTGAAAAAGTATAGTTGCCTACTATTTACTCTAATAATAGTGCTCAATCCATTGAACTTTTGCGTGGAACTCACCACATTGACCCCAAAATGTCTTCCTCTGATGTAAAGAGCATTGAGCATACTGTTGTGTTTTGAAAATGAAACCGCATCAACAAAATCATCAACAACAATCAATGTAGCAAACAGTTTTTTGAATTTATTTTTCTTTTGATATTCACTTATTTTGTATTGTTGTTCAAGTATCTCTTCCAAATCTTCTTTATGGAACTCATCAAAATAAACCTTCTCTTTCTTCGGATTTACTTTTAGTGTTTTTTCAATGTATTCTTTCACTGGGTGCCAGACACTATCAACGTGAATACTGGCAGAGAAAATGAAAACCCTTTCAAAACAACCTCTATAAATGTCTAATATCATATTCTGTAGTAAGATAGATTTACCAGAGCCAGACGGTCCTACTACAATTTGTGAGAATGGTATTCTAGGGGCTACATCATATTTTGATTGTTTAAACTCATACTCTGCTGATTTATGAGGTTTAATAATTGGAACATTATTATTCATAATATAATATATGTAAATTATTTAGAAATTAATTTCTAATATTTGTTGTAATGGCATATCTTATTTTACCTTTGAATAGGGCGTCAGGTGAAATCTGGAACAGTTGCCGATATTACCCATCATAAGAATGTTAATTAAAAAGTTTCTCCCCGACATCGTCCCTTTTGAATTTCCTGTGCGAATGACAACCACAAGCAATAGAAGAGTTGAAGATGTTTTTCTTCTTGAATTCGTTTGATGCCAAGTTCAGCACAGTTAATTTTCTTGGACAGTATTTACCGCCCCTTATGGATTTTTGTTTGCGCCTTGAAATCCATATATAATTAGATAGTATTAAAATATATCATCTAATTATATAGGATGAATGAGTGCGATATGTATTTAGATACAGTTAATGTCATAGAAGGTAGGATTGAAGATGATACTAGATTTCCAATTGTAAGAGATACTAAACTTAAACAGATATTCAGGGTATTACTGGAGTTTCTGAAGGTAATTATAAATTATCTTAAGTACTATATAGATGCCACCCAAAAAAGCAAAGCCAAAGATGAGTAGTAAAATAAAGAAACAACAACTTTCACAAAGTGAAAGTTCTGGAGGGCAACGCCCTTTACCTATACCTGAAGATTATGAACTGTCAGATGAAGAACCCACTACAATAAATCTGAATGAGGAACAGAAACTATCAAGCAAATTTATTACCTTTGATTGCCCACTGTGTCAGGGGAAACTACAATTGAGAAATGAAATTGAAATCAACCCCAAGGGAGTGAAATGTAAATGTATTCCGTGCTCATTCAAAATCAGCAAAAATGATAAAACAATGAATGTAAGCAGGGATGACAACGGGGAAATAGTTTTAGAGAGTGAAGACCATAGCATCAGTTTCAGTTTTAACCGCCAGATTACACCAGAGGACAAAAATAAGGAAAGCACTAACAATATGATACGGGATGTAATGACTACTACCCCCAGAAGTAAAGGACAACTGGCAATAAATGATATGGATTAAAACTATTTAAAGAGTGATTTTAACACACGTTGAACTGATAAATAAACAAATATCTAAATAATTATATATAGAAATGTCTGATTTAGATGATAAACAACCTGAGATGGCAGAGATGCTGAACAAGATGACTAAGTATAACAAGAATGTGAAGGTATTGATGGACTTAATGAACAAGGCATTAGAAAAACTTGATATATTAGGGAAAAATAAACCTGCTGAAAATAATGATGCTGATGCTGAAAAAGAAAGGATTGATAAAATCTTTGAGAAAAAACAGGTGGGTGGCCCAAGAGGCAGTTTTGAAGAGAATTAATCTCAATATCTGAAAATGCTAAATGAAGGTCGCGTGAAGCAACCTAAAACTCAAACTCTTGAGTTTTACAAGATTGAAAGGGATTGTGAAGTGTATAAATTAATGGATTGATAAAATGCGTGTCTTTCAACAATAATTTCATATATAAATTATATGAAATTACTTGATATGTTTAGCGGGACAGGCAGTGTGGGAACTGTCGCAAAAGATATGGGCTGGGATGTTGTGTCATTAGATTTGAAAGGGGCTGATATCAATTGCGACATACTACAATGGAAATATAAAAAATATCCAGTGAAATACTTTGACTTTGTCTTTTCTTCACCCCCAGCTTTTAAATACAATAGGGTAAATACCAATGATGTCAGAAAAATAGATGAAACCAATAAGATTGTGTTAAAAATACTTGAGGTAATCAATTACTTCAAACCACGGGTTTTTGTGATACAAAATCCTCAATCAAGTTTGTTGAAAGAACAAGGGTTTATGAAAAAACTTCCCTATTATGATTTAGACTTTTGTAAATATGGATTTGAATACAGGAGACGCACTAGGCTTTGGACAAACTTGGAAGGGTGGCAACCCAGAGCATTGTGTAAAAGGGACTGTGGCAATGTAATAGAAAACAAACATATTGAAAAAGGGCAAAGGCTGCCATCAAATGAAATTCCTGAAGCATTGGTTCAAGAAATGTTCAGTGCTATAAATGTTGTGTGTTTTAGTTAGGGGTGTTCAGTGCTTGAAAATTGGTGTTTCCAGTGCTTGAAAACGGGTGTTTTCAGTGCTTGAAAACGGGTGTTTCAGTGCTTGAAAATAGGTGTTTTCAGTGCTTGAAAATTGGTGTTTTCATTGCCTGAAAACTGGTGTTTTCGGTGCCTGAAAATTGTTTTTTGCCGTTTTCAGTGTCTGAAAATGCCGTTTTCAGGGTCTGAAAGTGTTTTTTTCCGTTTTCAGTGTCTGAAAATGGTTGTTTTCAAGGTCTGAAAATGGGTGTTTTCAAGGTCTGAAAATGGATTTGTGCGGGGTGTGTCTCCATACTACCTAGGCTGGATATTCCCATTATCTGGGCTGGACAATTCCATTATCTGGGCTGGATATTCCCACTATCTGGGCTGGATAATTCCATTATCTGGGCTAGTTTTTCTCAAAATCTAGGCTGGATAATCTGGATGGCTACAGCCTATACATTGGGATGTATAAGGTCTATACATTAGATGTATAAAGTCTATACATTGGGATGTCTAGGGGCTGGACAATGGGTATTGAGCCTATGGACGTATTCAGCATTTGAATACAGAATAAGGGTGTATTCGGATACTGAATACGGGGTATTCAGCATTTGAATGCAGAATAAGGGTGTATTCGGATACTGAATACGGGGGGTTGTTACTATCTATAGGGTGGAGCACCCCTCCTTGCCTAAATTTTAGGCAATCCCTTTGCCTCAAATTTAGGCAACCCACTTGTCTAAAATTTAGGTAGTCCCTTTGCCTAAAATTTAGGCAGTCCCTTTGCCTAAATCTTGGACTGGTAAGATGGAGAAATCCTGTTTATGGCATTGATTTTTCAATTATGTTTATGTATTGGCTTTACCATTGCCGAGGTCTGGCTTCATAGATAAATTATTTCATAATTTATCTTAAAGTCCATCTCATAGGTTTTAGCATTACAACAGGCTTTTGAATGAGGGTAAGTGTATGGTTTGTTGTTAAGGTTTTTGGTATAGTATTCTTTATGGTCTATTGTATTGTTTAGGTTGTTTGAGTTTTTTGTTTTGTTGTTTGTTGTTTTGATTTAGGTTATTGTTTTCTATAAGGTAAAGCAATCCCATCTTTTTGTTTTGACCGCTTTAAAATCTATTGTATTGTAGGGGGTGCGGTCTGTAAAAAGACGGGATTGCCCTAGTCTAACTATATTGTATGCAAATGCAAACTGACCTGGACCTTTTTTGGTTTTTACGTCCACTTGGTTCTGAGCACCAAGTTCAGGTCCGAAAACGCATGATGCAAACCTTGCTAGTGGTAGAGGGAAAATCTACAAACACCTGTAGACCTGTAGTAGATTTTGTGATATCACTACAGGATTTACATGGATTTACCTGATCATTCACAGCTGTCGAAGCACAGGAGCATCAACCTGGCACCGGGATGATCCTGCAACTTGGAATTTAGGTTTGGGGCTTGCTTTCCCAGTTACATTATCTCCTAGTAATCTATAGCAACCTCAAAAAAGATGGTCAAATCCACTCCAAAACAGTGATTCGAAGAGCTTTTCGACCTTTGAAAAGGGTGGGAACCCCAATGGTACCCTCTGGTAATTTAACATAGCTATTGAAAATGGCCATAGAAATAGTGAGTTTTCCCATTTAAAAATGGTGATTTTCAATAGCTATGTAACAAATTACCAGAGGGTACAGTAGCCCGCCCGAAGAGATCCAGGAAAATCCAAGTTGTGACCCCCGCGTCGAACCTCGCGTCGAACCTGGTCACTTGCACGGTGTCCAAGGGGCTTTCCTCCTCGGCTTCAGCCTCTGCCTTGATGCAAAATCGATGAAACAAAACGCTGCTGTGACTCACAGCTAAAGCATACAAGGTTCATGCAGTTTATAGTAAGTATATATTTATTGATATTATATAATAAGTAATCATTTCATATCTAATTTAATTATGCAAATAGTTTGACTATAGTTCCAAAGAATATATGGCGACTGGATGCAGGCATTAGATTGGCTGGGAGTGTTTGAAATGGGGGTCAACTCCATTGCCAACATTTCCTGTGGCTGGGATTTATAGATGTTCATCTCCCAAGATGGTATTTCATGGGTAACAGGTATGTCATGGACTGCCAACATCTGCGGAGCCATGAAAAAAAAACATCCCCATCATGTGTGGGTCAAACATGATTCATGCTACCCACACCAACCGTATCCAATCGTATCCCCGCGGCTGGTAAGAATCAATAGATTTGGGTATGGGTCAACATCACCAATTCAAAAAGAATCATCAAATCAAACATAAAGCAATGAAATCATCCCCCATTGATAGACTTAAATTCATCTTGTTTCCCACTCAAAGCTACATTATTGGACACTTATTTTACCAAACGATACAATGCCAAGTATGTTACACTTGTTTCATCTTGTTTTCCATACCTATGATACATTCTTATTTGGGGAATTTCCATCATTGCTATGTTCGATGACACCGAAGGGATCAAACGGAAAGTCTGTGGATCCCCTAGGCCTTCACCAGACTTCTCTGCTGCCCAATAACGTATCCTTACTTCATGTAAGAATCAGATAGATTGCAGATGATAAAATTGATAAAATATGATAAACATCCAATAAAACAAAATACAAGACATATCATGACATATCTATCCCCATGAATGATCTGGGCTCAACCTTACTTAAGCCACAACAAAAACAATGTTTCGAAGCAGCTGAAAATTCCGCATTCGGAATAGTTCACCTATGTTCACCTCACCGTGCATCCTGGATCTGGATGGTCCTGGGTTACCCTACCGTTTTGCTCTTCTTTTTGGGTGATTCGTCTAAGGGTCCAAAGGTGGACTCCTTCCAAACACTGCCCTGGAGGATGAAGAGCGATCCGCTCCAACTCTCATCCTGCGAAAAAATCAATGGCATGTCATACATATCCATGGTGATGTATATATATAGTATACTATATTATATATACTTGTAGAACAAGTGATACTTTGTAGTACTTTCATATGTAGATATGAATCGAAATGGTTGCAGGAAATTCATATGATATCGACATGTCACTACATACATAGATTTCAGAAGTGCACATAAATAACATTAAACATCATAAACCTACAACTTGATAACAATGAGAAACGAATCACATCTCCGCAAGTTTCAGCATGAGTCGCATGCCGGTACTGGTAGCATGATGAATCTTACTGCCAGTGAAAAACTCAATGCCAGCCCGATACTCCACCTAGCTGTTTGTCAACTATATTCACACGCAGAAAACACCTCAATTAGGGATTTTGTTATATATATAATATGTATACATATATATGTACACATACTACCCCCAAAAAAAAGTCTACCTTTGTGGTTGTTCTTTGTTGTTTTCTATTATATATAAATGCATATAAATGCATATAAATGCAAATAAATGCATATAAATGCATATGAATGCATATAAATGTATATAAATGCATCTGTTTTATTGACACTTAAAATGTCATGATCCCTGCAGAAAATATTGGCTGCCTTTCTAAATCTCGGCTGCCTGAAGTGAAGCGTTTCAGTGACCGTTGGCATTTTTCCCGAGCAGAGCTATTCGAGGAATCCTACCAGCTTCACCAGCTTCACTATATCAGCTTCAATATTCAGTGGTTTATGGGGCTAATCTGTTAAAGATATTTAAAGATCTTAAACCAGCCTAAGAGATGTATCAGTTTCAATATGGTTCAATCTGAAATGTCCAGGCTTAGGTGACCGGGGCGGTGACCGCCGTTGAGCAACACACCTCGAGCTGAACAGTCAACTGGTGCAACTGCTCCTGCAGAAAGGGTTAACAGGTCACCAGGGCCAACATCTACTGGTTGGTGGTTGAGCCCTACCCCTCTGAAAAATGATGGACGAATCGTCAGTTGGGATGACATGACATTCCCAACTGAATGGAAAGTCATAAAAGTCATGTTCCAAACCACCAACCAGTCTACTGGTTTTACCGCAAATCTTCACTTCATATGAGCTTCTTGGAGGCTTTTCTGTGGTTCCAAGGAGCCTGCCATCTATGCCGTTAGTCTTTTCTGTTACTGTTACAGACTGTTGGATGATTTCATTACCGGTAGGAATGGGTGTGTCCCAAACGTGGTTGTAATTACCCAAAAATTGGAGCTTCGGATGGAAAAATTCACCCCCAAGAGTTGCGGGATATAACGGACGCCCGTAACTATCGGTTATATATATATATATATGGGTGTGTCTGAAAATAGTGTACCCCTAAACCCAACGGTTAATGATCATTATCCCTATTAAATGGCTATAATTGGGAATATACCCTATTTTCAGACAAACCCATATATACATACATATCCAACTAGAACTGGAACTGCACCCCCAGAAGAGTCTGCAAGAAGCGGATTTTGGTTGATGGGCATGGGGTATTGGCACACCGAGCTTCACTTGAGTGTACAACCTAGGCTACAACCTGGAGGTCTTTTGGTGATTCCAGCCTCACTACTATATAAAGATTACCCGCACCAAAGAAAATATAGTCAACATATAAGATGTGGGTATGGATCAATACCTATTAATACCATTTTTAATGGGATGAACATCCATTTACCAGCTATTTTGATGTTCACCAGGGGTACAAGGTTTTGACACACTGCCATATCACAGAATTCCACCAATTCTAAAGGCTCCCAATCCCGAACTCCTCAGGACATGTCTTGGAATATTTCCACCTTGCAGCAGCCATCACTAGTGGTCTTAGCACCTCAGCTCGAACCACAAGAATGAAGACTCCCCGGTAAATTGTTACATAGCTATTAAAAATTGTGATTTTCCATAGTTATGTTAGTTTACCAGAGTGTAAGACTTCCTACAGTCCCTACATTGCTTGTTTGGACATTTTTTGGGAACAAGAATCATTTGGCGTTGGGTCAGTTCAGCCTTGTACCCTTTTCACCCCAAAGTAGCTGGTAGTTACGGATGTTCTTCCCCCAAATACCGTCTCTATATTGGTGATATATCCAGATATATCCGACCATTTCAATCATATCTTCATGATACCTCCATGTTTCTTGGCTAAATCACCATAATCATCACCATGAACCACCATTCATAATTAATGGTTCTATGTTCTGACCCCAATTTGACCTCCCAACGCTGAGCCCGGCGCTAGCTGTAGCAACGCCTTCTGAGGCATATGCTGCATCTGTCGAACCTGGGTCGAACATCTCAGGTCGAATCAATACATTTCTGGGAAAATCATGGATTTTATCCAGCATCAGTGGCATCAAAAAATGGTGATTTTTCACGAGAAAAATCATGGGAAATTATAAGCACTAAGAATGGTGATTTATAAATACCTTTAAGGGATTTTGAGGGTGAACATCTTAAGCTGTTTACCTGCAAATACCGGGGGGTGGAAGCTGCAGTTTTTCCCCACTTGGTTGATTTATCTCGCAAAAAACTTAAAGGAATCCGAATCATACTCAATGCATGTTCCATATATAATTGACGTTGCTGCGACTGTGACTTCACAGATTCTTGCCACCTATCTGAGATTAAACATTACATTTCTATTTGTTTGCATCTATAACTATAACTAATCACATCTAATTACTATAGTAGCCTTGAGAGGATCGTTCCAACAAACTGTGGGCCCAGTTTGGAACGCCTTTCGCGAATCAGTGTTCAACAAACCCAGCGACTCTACGAGTGGTACGTTGTCAACATGAACTTCCGATTCAAATCATCAGGGCCACCGAGAGCATTGATCGTTCTGGACATTTCGGGAATCCAACTTCTGAGGGGTTTCCTAAATTGGGGGTGCCCCCAAAATGGATGGTTTATAAGGGAAAACCTTCTATTAAAATGGATGATTTCGGGGTAGCCCCATTTATGGAAATCACCATCTCTGGTTCGAACCATGGTTCACCTCCAGAGAGCGGCCCAGTAACATACAGAATGGCAGTGCGGCTGTTGGGAGGCACATAACTCTTGGACGCTGTGAGGTACTCCGCAGAGGATTTCTTACCTTTAAAGAAGTCCTGGAGCTTTTGGATCGTTGTCCGTGACGCATCAGGTCAATACCAGGTGGTGGCTCCTATCATTTGCTCTAACAACCCATCTGACTAATTATACCTAAAATCACATAAAATCACGATAAACCCTGGTTAAGCTAGTCATAAGCTAACTTCGTCATGGGCTAACCTAGTCATGTTGGTTTAGAGACCTATATGACCTAATTATAGCTATTTCATCAATATTTCATCACCATACCAGTGAATCTTGTGAAATCAACTCACTTGGTGCCTCAGGTATTGCAGAATTGCATAGCTGGTTGGTGGTTGACCAACCCCCCTTTAAAAATGATGGAGTTCGTCAGTTGGGATGATTTTCCATTCCCAACTGAATGGAAAATCATAAATAATGTTCCAAACCACCAACCAGATAGAGTTCCCGTGCGTGTTCAAGCAACCGTACTGTGAGTACTGTCAACTGCGGAGTAATGAACCCTGGTCGATAAAAAAAAAGGGGGTTACCCTCATCCCCAAATACTGACGGTGACGGCATTTGCTGCTAGAATGGCCCCCAATGAAACAGACTAGGGGTTTATTAATCCGGGGTTGACATTACTTGGAGATTTCCTGAAATGGAGGTACCCCAAAATGGAGGGTTTATGCTGGAACATCCAATGAAAAAGGATGATTTAGGGGTACCCCTATTTTAGGAAACCTCCACTTCCGTAGTTGTCACGGCAACAGTACCTTTGATCCTCACGTCTGCTCCTCGGCACCCATCAGCATCATTGTGACCGCTTGCTGTGGCCATGCAATCTTTGGGCCAGGCAAATTCATAGCGCAGCCTGCGGCAAAATGGATAAAATACCGTTTTTTTGTGAATGCAGTCAATGGATAAAACAGATACTAGCATCTTGCAATAATCCCCAATATACAAATATAAACCATGCAGGTAGCAGAAAATCCCCTGTAATAACCAATCAACAGGGAAGCTTTAATCTCCTTGTACCTGGCTAGATCACACTCACATATGTGCCGAAAACGCTCTTCATGGTGTGTTTGATGCTTTGGCAGCTTCGTGTGGGATCCACCAATGCCATATACCTACCATTTGGCCATTTTTTAAATGTGTGTCTACTCATTGATGGCTAAATATTGGGGGTGTCTTATATTGGGTGTACCACACGAATTGCATGAACATTCGGAACATGACAACTCGTGGGCCCTTTTCGCATGGCGAAGCATGGCGAAGCTGTTGGGTTTTTCGCCAGAGATCCCAGATTTTTCGAACTGGAAAGATCCACCATGCTATCAATGGGTAAATCCACTATTTCTATGGGTCATGTTCAATAGCTATGTAACAAACTACCAGAGGGTATCTTCAATGTCAATCAATCTTTACTCAGATAGAACTTCAGATAGAACTATCTTAAATATATGTACATGTTTTTTTATCATCACACGATATTTGCAAAACAAAGTATCCTTCTGTCAACCAATTTCAACTTTTGTGGCAAGTGGGTATTATATCGCAAAACCATCTCATTACATACGTGATGGTTACATCCTAGTTTCTATTATCCCCAAAAAAATCTGCATGGTGATGCTTATTGACCCCCATGATTTCGAAAAAGATAATTAACAAAATCAATTGTATAGTGTTAAATTAATATAAATAATATTTTGGATATGTCCAATAAATAATACATGTTCTATATCCAATGATGTAAATTCCCGTTGTTCTGCCACGATTTCCCCATGATCACCGTTAAGCCCCGCCCAAGGCCCCGCCCAAGGCCCTCCAACGCGCCGAAGTTCGGCAGCCTCCGTTGATCACAACCGCAGGTGGGACTTGATCGCCCAATTTCCTTGGATGATCCATAGGGCCATAGTGGTTGGTGGTTTTAACATGTTCGCTGCTTTCCGTGGGACGTTTGCCCGGAGTTGATGTCCCGCCTTCCTGATTTCGATCCCTCATGAAGATAAAATTGATGTTACTACCCGGCCCATTCAACATATTGGTCATAAGGGTGGCAAATTTTGATCCCTCATGAAGATAAAGTTGATGTTATTTCCCCAATCAACATATTGTTCTGAGGAGGTGGCGAATTTTGATCCCTCATGAAGATAAAGTTGATGTTACTGTATTTCCCCAATCAACATATTGGTCATAGGGTTGGCGAATGTTGATCCCTCATGAAGATAAAGTTGATGTTATTTCCCCAATCAACATATTGTTCTGAGGAGGTGGCGAATTTTGATCCCTCATGAAGATAAAGTTGATGTTATTACCCGGCCCATTCAACATATTGGTCATAGGGGTGGCGAATGTTGATCCCTCATGAAGATAAAGTTGATGTTATTTCCCCATTCAACATATTGGTCATAGGGGTGGCGAATGTTGATCCCTCATGAAGATAAAGTTGATGTTATTTCCCCAATCAACATATTGTTCTGTTATGTCACAATCATGAGTCTGGGCGAACGTTAAGGTTGCGGACAACATGTTTTAACCATCTTGAAAAATATGAAAGTCAATGAGAAAGATTATCCCATATATGATGGAAATGGAACAGTTTGAAACCACCAGCCAGAATAGGATATGGTTTGCCACCCGTAATGACGTAATGGGTTAATAGCGATTCGACGCCACGGCGTATGGTTACGCAGTGGTGATTAACAGTGATGAAAATAGTGGTTGATAGTGATTAACAGTGATTAATAGGTTTGTCTGTGGTTTCCTAAGTCATGGGTTCATAATGGGCTAATAATGGGATTTCGTGGGTTAATAATGGATTAATCATGGGGGTTAAAAAATAAACAAATACGGTCCGACGGTGGTTTCCAAAGTCATGGGGGTACCCCCAGTCATCATCCATTTCTGTGGCTGGGAATTTCCATGAGAAACCGTCCAGCTACTGGGGATCCCCCATTACGTAGAAAAGTCAGTGTTTATCTATGATTATATATATATATATACAGTGTATGTATGTATATATGTATGTATGTACGTATGTATGTATGTATGTACGTACGTATGTATGTATGTACGTACGTACGTATGTATGTATGTATGTATGTGTATGTATCTGTATGTGTATGTATGTATGTATGTATGTATGTATGTATGTATGTATGTATGTATGTATGTATGTATGTATGTATGTATGTATGTATGTATGTATGTATGTATGTATGTATGTATGTATGTATGTATATGTGTGTGTGTATGTATGTGTATATGTATATGTATATGTGTATGTATATGTGTATGTATATGTATATGTATATGTATGTATATGTATATGTATATGTATATGTATATGTATATGTATGTATAAGTATATGTATATGTAAATGTACATGTACATGTATATGTATGTATATGTAAATATGTATATGTATATGTGTATATGTGTATGTGTGTATATGTGTATGTATGTATGGATGGATGGATGAATGTATGTATGGATGTATGGATGTATGGATGTATGGGTGTATGGGTGTATGGATGTATGGATGTATGTATGTATGGATGTATGGATGTATGGATGTATGGATGTATGGATGGATGTATGTATGTATGTATGTATTATGACAAACCAGTATATGCTTAACAAAATATGCAAATAGATACATGATCAACACGGGAATGTAGAATGTTGCAAAGAAATATTGAAAGAACATGCAATATAGATCTAGCCAATTGATTCTAATATGATATGATATACATAGTATAATCTATTATAATATATATAATATATATATATATAGAATATAATATATATTATAAAATATATTATAAATATAATATCCATTGTATAATATAATATATTAATATATCATATCATATATATAATATCATATATCATATAGTATATATAATAAATAATATATAATACACAATAAATAATACATAATATAAAAATATAACATAATATAATATATATATAATATAATATATATATATATATATATGGTAATCTAATATAATATAATGTAGTAATTTAATATAATATATAGAATGCTATACATCATGAGCTCATGGTGTTGCAAAGGTCCAGTGTCCGCCAAAAACGCGGCAGCACCACCTGTCCTGCAGGGATGATGTAACCAACCACTGGTAAACTAAGAGTTTATGACTGGGTAAACCATCTATAAATGGTTAATCTATGGTTAATCTATGGTTAATCTATGGTTAATCTATGGTTAATCTATGGTTAATATATGGATAATATATGGTTAATATATGGATAATATATGGTTAATATATGTTAATATATGGATAATCTTAATGGTTCATGGTTAATAGTTAGCCTCTGGTAAAAACTAACAGTTTGCGAACTTGAAAATACCCTACAAAAATAGTTGATTTACTTATTCAAAATGGTGATTTTCTGACTGGTTATGTTAAAATTTACCAGAGGGTAAAAGATGTTAAAACAGTGGTTAACTGGTTAATGATTATTGGGAGAGTTATTGGGGACATCAATGATTGTAGGGATGATTAGATGATTATGGTTATGTGTGGCTGTAATGTCCAATACTTTTTGTGGGTAATTCCCAATGCCATAGATACGCACCATCCTTTAGTCATCATCAGTCATCACCTTATTTTCTATAGGTATGCCATCGTCAAAACAAGATCCACTCCGGAAACTGCGAAGCTACGCCACATTTAAGTAATACAGTACGGTACCCTCTGGTAAACTAACAGTTTGCTATTGAACATGGCCAGAGAAATAGTTGATTAACCCATAAAAAAATTGTGGTTTTCCATAGCTATGTTAGTTTACCAGAGGGTAATCCTTTCCACCAATGATCATTTTTTCCCTGACACAAACCCTGGTTTAGTAGAGCCCAGTGTTACGCTTGTAGTTGCTGCCGAATATGATAAATGATGATTGCGCCATGTGCCATCCAATATCCCCATAAACTCCCATTCCCCCATCAAATCACCCAATTCCACAACCTAAACCAGTTCGGTGATCTCCTGCAATAAATGGTGTTTTAGGTTCCTAAACAATTCCATAAATGGGGGTACCCCCGAATGGATGGTTTACAATGGAAGATCCCAGCTATAAATGGATGATAACTGGGGGTACCCCCATGACTTGTTGGAAACCTCCAAATAATTCCCATAGTTCCATCCCCCATCGCTTCCGCATCGTCAGCGCCGTGTCGCTCCTCCTCTCGAGCCCAGCACCAAAACATCGCCCAAGGGTTTGCCCAGAAGCTCCTCAGGAGAACCATGGGACATTTACAGATATGAAAGGAATAATCCCTTCCCCCTAATATTAACGCCCCCTTAGAAACCATGGTTTAGTGGGGAATTTCCACATAATTGGGACCATTTATGGGGTGTTTAATATTATATAGGGTGATGGGATTATATGGTGAGGAATGGTGGTTGAACCAAACACAAATGGGTATCTAACCAATGTATGGGATTTGCATGGGAGAAGCGTGGTGAAAATGAACATGTCATGTTCATGGGATATTAATGGCATATATCAAACAAGCAATTTAATGTTTGGGTGGAACATCTGGTAAGAATCTCCAGTGGATGGATTGGGGTACCCAATGTTCAGACAAACCCATTTCCTAAAATAGATTCGAGTTGCTATTTTCTGATTTTTCTGGAGGTAAAACATGATGATTTTGGGATACTCCTATCATGGCGCTCACCATGAAATGGGTTTTTTCCATGGTGTTTACCCGAAGAAGTGGTACCCAAAATCCGCACTTTTTCCTGGGCCCCTGGGTCACAAATTTGGACAGCCTGGTAACTACCGATGGGAAATAAAAACTCTTGGAAGAGACTCCTGCTATATACTTGCAATCAATTAAAATTATTCTATACTTATATGATATGATCGATCTTATACAAAACAAAATACTTTACTTCGTGTGATCCTCACCATGACATTTATACATTTTCTTACTGGCAAATCTTCTGGCATTCTATCTGACATATCTTCTGACATTCTATTTGGCATTCTATCTGGCATATCTTCTGGCATATGTTCTGGCATTCTATCTGGCAAATCTTCTGGCATTCTATCTGGCATATCTTCTGGCATATTATCTGGCAAATCTTCTGGGATCCTATCTGGCATATTTTGTGGCATGCCATCTGACATTTTATCTGGCATGCTATTTGGCATACCTTCTGGCATTCTATCTGGCATATCTTCTGGCATTCTACCATGGTATATATTCTGGCATTCTATCTGGCATATCTTCTGGCATTCTATCTGGCATATCTCATGGCATTTTATCTGGCATATCTTCTGACATTCTATCTGGCATATCTTCTGACATTCTTTCTGGCATATCTTCTGACATTCTGTCTGGCATATCTTCTGACATTCTTTCTGCCATTCTATCTGGCATATCTTCTGACATTCTATCTGACATCTTTTCTGACATTCTTCCTGTTGAGGTCCGGCAGTGCTCACTGCGATCTGGAAGTCACGGTCGAGGTCCGGCAGTGCTCACTGCGATCTGGAAGTCGCGGTTGAGGTCCGGCAGTGCCCACTGGGATCTGCAACTCGCGGTTGAGGTCCGGCAGTCCCCACTGGGATCTGGAGCTCGCGGTGGAGGTCCGGCTGTGCCCACTGGGATCTGGACTGCGAGGAGGAGGCGGCGGGTGAGGAGGCGGAGGAGGAGGAGGAGAAGAGCTTTGTTAAAATCTAGCAACCTCACCTGGCAGGCGGGGAAATATGTGTATCGCATCTTGTAGCAGTTGCTATTGATATAACCCTAGTTCATGGGCCCCTTGTCCCCGGCGACCCTTCCTTGATTTGACCTTCCTTGATTCGATAGTCATGGGGGTACCCCAATAGCTGAATTTTTTTTTTCAGGGAAAATATGAAAATATCCGAACATAAAATGGATGATGACTGGGGCTACCCCTATTTCAGGAAACCTCCAATTGATAAGCCACCAAAAATCCTTGCAATCAGAATGATTGAAGGCAAAACCTTGAGCTGGAATTTCAGACTATCAGCATTGATGGCATTTTGTTGACATGAAACCTGCCAAAAGCCTTCAAGAAACGGTGTTCAACAACATGTTGGATGTTGATTTATAGTTCATTCAGTGACAAATGGCATGCCGAAGGCTTAGACACACTTCCATGACCGTAAGCATGCTGGAAACTGTAGCTGCAGGTTAAAAATCACATCGCCCTTGGTTGGCAAGTTGATGATTATGTGAATTAATACCTTCAATGGGATTATGATTCGCAGGAATGATATAGGAATCATCATAGATTATACTATACAGTGATGTTGGCTGGCCAACGTTGGCCACTATACATTCCATGAATTGTCATGTCCCCAAGAACCCTGGATTAGTCCACTTGAACTGTCCTGTACCCTCCTAGCAAAAAACAAAGTACGAGTGGCGATCCACAACGGTCTATGTGACGTTTCCTAAAAAAAACATCAAACATCATCTCTATGATAAATGCTCCTTTCCATCCCTTCCGAACACCCCAAAACCATCCAAAACCCTAGTTTTTGAGATGTTTTTGCTAGACATTGAATCATTGAATCCATTCATTTCGCCATCCAGGCCGGTGATCTCCTTCGCGAAGGTTTCCAAATTCGGGGCCGGTTTGCCATTCTGCCAACACTCGGGGTATCGATCGTAGTTCGCACCGCGCGAACCACACATCTCCACCTGGGCAGTCGATTCGAAAGCCCCAGAAATGACATGCCAGGGATCTCATTAGGTATACCCTCTGGTAATTTAACATATATAACTATGGAAAATCACCATTTTTCATGGGAAAATCCACTATAAATGGCCATTTTCAATAGCTATGTTAAATTACCGGAGGGTAATAATGCACTCTCATCAATCTCGGAATCCTCTGAAAACATATTAGACTTGAAGTATTTCTAGGAAATACTGTAAACATATCTTCTTCCTGGTGCTTCTCCTATCATCACCATGCAACTGGCGCAACTGGCGACCCTGAGTGGCGGGCCCTGGTTTGCACGTCTTCACCTGCGATGATTCGATCATCGACCAATCAACCATCCATGAACCATCCATTTACTTTATATGTATAACATGAATAATATACTATGTATGTGATACATAGGTATGTAATGGTATGTATATATATATATATGTGCATATGTATGTGATATGTATATATGGAGAGATATACTATACCTCTGGTAAATTAACAGTTCGACACTGGCGGTCATCGGGGTTGGAAGACTAGTGAAACCATTACAAATTGGTGATTTTCAGGGTCTATGTTTATTTAACAGAGGGTAATTCCTATAAACTCCTATTTATTCCTATGGCTTTCCATAGTCATGGGGGTACCCCAATAGCTTTCTGGATTATTTAATTTATTTCATGGATCCGACAATCTTCCGTGGATGAGAACTGGGGGTACCTCACCAGAGGGTCACCCGTGGCCTAGCTCTTTGTAGACCTCGCCATTGAGGCCAGTTCCAGCACCTGGCGCCACCACCATGACCTAAGTCGTTTTCGAATCCCGGAGCTGTTGTTTTCGAAGTGAATCTAAGCGGTTACAGTAACCTTATGACATATATAGTAACTGTACAGTAACCAAACATGATGTAAGTGTATATATACTGTATATAATTGTATATATATATATTATATGTAACTGTCACTGTGATTTTTTTCTGTGGTCACACAGATTTTCTTTGGTTTCAACATGAAACCCAATCACTTATGAAACTTGCTCGAAATAAGTGGAAGGTCTATATAGAAATATCTTGCAACATCTCTGCAACATCTTGCAAAATTGGTTGGAGCAGCTGCGGCAGTTGGGCATATTCGGGATCTTGGTCGTATCTTCTTTCAAGATGAAAATAGTTTCTATCTAAACTCAGGTGAGGGTATCAAACACCAAGTCATTGCGTTCTCAATGCAGCCAAAGCAACTAATAAGGGTATGCGACATGTGGACATGTGAAGCATTCAAGCATGGGTGTCAATCGCCTGCTCATACTACCTGGTGGTTTTAACCATCTTGAAAAATATGAGTCAATGGATTATCCCATATATGAAATGGAAAATAAAAGCCATGTTTGAAAACCACCAACATCCACCAACCAGCTACGAATATTACGGTGCCCCACCACCTCCCAGGACTCCCAGGAGATTCGTTTCGCCGCAGTGATCCGAGAGGCATAAAGAGCAAGCTTCAGCGACACCACATTTTCAGGCTTCACATACCGAAGGCCGGTGCTCACACGGATGCGAACTGAGCCTGACCACATGAGTTTTCGCTGAGTTTAGCTGACTTTCCACCAACTCTGATAGGAACCCAAGAAGTGGTCAAAGTAAAAAAGATGCCCAGGAATATGCAGCAAATCACCATTACAGATATTTTCAGATGACATCATGTTGCGGCTCCCCAAAGCTTAGGCTCATGTTTTCGCATTTCACCCGGTCTTCTCACCTTTCGGCATGGTCAAACCGCCCGAGGAGTAAGCTTCTGTCAGCACATCCTGGAAGCATCATGTGATGCTTAGAGAAAATCACGTTGTGAATCGTTGGTAGGATATAGCGGGAATTTGTTACAGTGCGCTATGGAAAATCATCAGTGTTGATAGGTAAATCAATGTAAATTATTGAACTTATAAATGGACTATTTTCTATAGCTATATTACCGGATGGTAAACAAACTGAATCTTCCAGGGGTCCATGGAAAACACGTGTAGGGATCCCCAGGACTGGAATTTTCTACCTACATCGAGTGCCCAAATCGACAGATAAATTCCTTTGAACCATTTGCGCATGTTCAGTATTCCACTGCTATAGCGCTAAAAAGGGTTAATCAAAATGCCAATTAATAAGATGTTTCTTTTTGCTGCATCACAAACCATCATAAACCGCCATAAATATCCATAAATGTTTTTCCAATTCCAAGTGAACCATTCCAAATTCGATACTTATTTAACATAGCCATCGAAAATCACAATTTTTAAATAGCTAAACCATCTATTTCTATGGGCCATCTATACCATGGCTATGTTAAACAACCAGAGGGTAAACCATTCCAATTTCACGGATTCTTCCTCACCGACTTCGCCAGCGGCCACGATTTCGTCCGATTTCGTCCTCCACAGTGCCCTCCAGCCACTTTTTATTGGAGCTGCTCCAGGTCTAGCGTGGTGAGTCGGGGATTTAGATCTAGAGTAATCGCGAAGACAATTGGAACCTGATTTTGATGATTTTTGATGATGTTTGGATGTTGTTTTGAAGATGTTTCATGAATTTTGATGGTTTTTGATGTTTTTTGTTCGTTTGTTTCATCTGGAAATGAGGGTTCAAGCCGCGCAAAACAAGAAATATCAGAGAAGAATTGTATAGAATTGTCAGGACATCAAAAATGAAAATAGAGCAAATAGCACTAGAAATGTCAGGACATCCTATGAAGATGAAAATCCAATACGGTAATACCGGCGGCAGGTTACCTATCAGCACAGTGGCCACATCCACTACCGGCCACCTGAACCTTGTCACCCTTCTGGGGCATGCGAACCAAGCCAACTGTAGCGGAGCGAAGGTGGGGCCAAAGGAAGGTGTTGATTCTATTTGATCCACACATATTTATGCGTATATATATATATACATATATATATATATATATGTTCTTATCGGATTTATATGTGCAAATAAATGTGTGTACGCATTCATATTCATAATGTGTGTACATATACATATACATATATGCATACAAACATACACTGAGATTGATTCATGGCATTCAAGAGCTACAACGTCCAGTAATTAGGCTATGAAGTGACTGGTGGTTTGAAGCTGCTGAGGGATTCAACCACCCCAAAGGAGACAAGTCGAACAATAAAGATTGGATATGATTGGATCATTAAGGGCTTATTAACCACCAACAGGACATAGAAAAACCATACATTCTTGGTTCACCGAAATTGGGGAGTTAGTTGAACCTCCATTTTCGGGCATTGTTCCCAATTGAGCATCAAACACTTGCATGGTGAAGCTGCTTTTGTCGAGATCTCAAAAATGACTCCACCATCTTTGGGTGTTCCAGTCACGCGAGTGATGAGCATTTGCAAATGGTTGAGCTTCAAACCTCAGCTCCCGTCTCCATGGCATGTTGTAGTTCTCAGCAGTTTTCACTGGCTTCTTCCGCTCAGTGGATAGTAAAGGTTATTCCTGGGAGCTATGTGATTTTGAGAAGCCGTGCACTGTTGTACAATCTATTTACCATCAGTAGCTATGCCCCTTAACATCCCTTAATAATCTGGTTGGTGGTTTCAACCCCTCTGAAAAATATGAAAGTCAGTTGGGATGATTCTTCCCAATGTATGGAAATTCATAAAATTCCATGGTTCCAAACTACCATCCCTTAACAATGGTATAACTGACTTATGATAGGCTTAGTTGCAGGAGTTGGTCTTCATCCCGTTGAAACACATGTTACTTGGGCGCCTCACAACGGGTCAAGGGACTGGAATCAAAGGCCCTGAAGTTTTGTCTCAACAAGCCTTGGCAGCACTGCGAACGGTGATGCCAAGGCGGCACAGCGTGACAAAGAAACGACCCGTTTTTGCCATGGAGGCACAGTTTTATGGGGAATATCATGGGGATGTTTTATGGGGATAAATATATATATATAAATATATATATACAGTTAATAATGCTTAATAGTGCTCGAAACAAAGATCTATACCTGGGTACCACTGATCTATGGTGCTGGAGTATTTGCCATTCTGCCAACAAATGACCCAGTTTGCAGGCAAATATTCCCGCACCATGGAGCCTATATCTTTGGGTAATCTCAAAATGTTCAAACACATCCAAAGATAGATATCATATATATATATATAATTATATATATACGTATTATATATATATATATATGAGTACCATGAATTATATGTATATATATATATCACATACTGCAAAAGATATAGATTTGGATTTGGTATGGGTCACTGCAGGCTGGTACACATGGTTCAATGACGCAGATTCCAATAGGCAATGGATCTTACCTGGTGAGTTTCCTAACTTGGGCAGCACCTCGGATCTTGCCATGACTTGGAGATGTCTAAAATGTCGACAGGAGCCGTCCCAAGAGAAAACAAATGTGAGACAACGTGACATAGAACAGTCTAAAATACCATATATATATATTATATAATACCATATAATACCCGTATGCTCCGTGGTGCAGGAATATTTACCTACGAAACTGGGCACTCTTTGGCTGAATGCTGGTAAATATTCCAGCACCATGGTTCGCATTGTGGATACACTTTGGCGGAATCAAATGACACTAATGTGTATGATCATTGTGGAAAATCTTATGGAATATGATACACTATGGTCAATGACCATTGTGGAAAATCTAAACAAAAGACTCTTGGAATCAGCGATAGACTCGATAGACATCCCAGTTCACCTCCTGCAGCATGGAACGAGTATTGGGTCGAAATAGATCCGCGCGCGACAAGAGATTTGCTTGGAACAACCACCAGAGCAATTTCCTGATGGGGCACAACATGAGGCAACTGCATCTGCTAGCATGAAAGCTTCGGGTGACCATATGCTTCACACCTGAAAACACATGCTAATTATTCTGCTACGTTACAAACTCACCAAGAAACATATGAACATCCATAAATGCTTCAGGTCTACTGCCCGGCCTGAAGTGTCCCGGGCTGCGCAGATGTTGCCCCACTTCTCGACACGGTAGAGTCTCGCGGCAAACAGCACAGACCTTGGTTGGATCACACGGCCGTGGGGTTTTACGGGTATCAAGGGAACTCATGGTCTTGCAGTTGGGGGCAGTTGGATCTACTATATCATATGTAGAATAAGCAACTAAATCATGGTAACTGCAGTAACAATCCCCATAAATTGGGATTTTCATACCCTACCAGTATGATTTAAGCCATACTAATTGCCTTTCCAAAAATCAGTGGAGCTGCGCTTCGAATCTCCGAGTTGCGAGACTCTCTTGGAAGACTTGATGTTGAATCAATAGCCGTTGCACGTCCTCCGTTGCCTCGAACAATGCGGGCCTCTGACTGGTCCCATTGTATAGTTTTTGGCGAGTTCTACACAATGAGCTCACATACCTGGATCTTCCGCAGGCTGAAAATCCAGCCCGAATGCTTTCAGGCTGAAATTTCAGCCCGAATCCTGTAAGCCTCAAATTTTCGCCCGAATGGATTTTGGCAATTTTGGCCATATTCAGCAGGATAGATGTTTAGAGTGGATTGATAATCAATCGTTGGACTGTCATAGAGATGAGCAACATCATATATTCAAATTAGGTGGATCACAAATGGGAAACAATGATGTTTCAGGCTATGTGGCATTAGTGTTTCGCTTTTTTTCGCCTGAATGACGCGAGATTTTGCCTTTTTGATGCCTAATTTCGCCCGAGGTAAAATCAACAAAATTGCCAAAAAAACGTGTTAGAAGCCGTCAACCAAATTTTCTGCAGCCAGCACAGATCACTAGCTGGCTGAGATAAAAAGCAAAGGACGGTGCCAATAGAGAAAATTACCATAGATGTTGATACACTGTTTATTCATTGGAGATTTTCGCCCGAATTGGGTTTTCAGCCCGCAGGCTGAAAAATCAGCCCGAACGAAGAAAAGGCTGACCTTTTATCGCAGGCTGAAATAACAGCCTTTTGGAAGATCTAGGTATATATATATATATAGTATATATTTAGTATATATATATATATATAAATTAATATAATATAATATAATATAATATAATATAATATATATATAGTGTATACATTATAGTATATATATATATATTCACAGAGTATATATATATATATAGTATATATATATACTTTGGAATCCAAACACCGTCATTATAATATAACAACTGATAAATTCAATGAAGGGTTTGCAGTGATGATGTAACGCGAGAAAAGAATTATAGTAAATACAGCTACCTTTGGCGTATCCAAAACATCTTGCAATGTGCAACCGTAAAGATGCTGTGGATCTTGGACAATCTTGGGAATGCGCAAGGCACTTTTGCACTCTGGCAAAACACGTTCAAACTTCAAATAGTCGTTCTCTTGCAGAAGGTCGTACTCATACTATACCATGCTATACCTTGATTCTTACACACATTGGGGAGCCCTCAAGTAGGAAAACTCCAAACACCAGGGTTTTCGCCACTTGATTTCCTAGATGATTCGTGTCCAAGATCTTGTGAAACAACCATACTGGTTCCCATCATTGATACAGTTATAGCCCTTAACAGTTATGACTCATGACTGACAAGAAAACATGGTTTAAGTGATAGCTTTGACCAACTAGTTGCAGGAGTTTTTATCCAATGTGTAACTGTTAGCTGGGCCGGTAACCGTGGCCTCTTTCGGACCTCACCATCCCCCGACGTTGCGGACCCAGTTGCGTCCACAGTTGCCACATATTGACGCCAAAGCCTGGCAAATCTCCCAGATCACAGCACTGCTTTCGTGGCAGGCTGGTTGGTTGAGAATGGTATCCGGCTATGGCTTAGTTACAGGATCATCCCAAATATATCACTGGCTGGTGGTTGACCTACCCCTCTGAAAAATATTAGTCAATGGGAAGGATTATCCCATATATTATGGACAAATAAAAAATGTGTGTAACCACCAACCAGAAATAGATTCAAAACCTACTATTTCATAACACAGGTTCAATCATGCCAATGGGATTCCACGTGGCGCGACTTTTTTCGTCGAAACTAAACATTTAGATATCAGGATATTTCACACTATTCTCATAAATACATAAATTTCTTTCTTTTTCAAATGGACCGGTTGGACACATCTTCATTTGTCTATTGAAAAAACATGATTTTTTCATGGGGCTACACCTCTCTGAATCAACCAGTTTTTTTGGCATCTTTGAATCGAAAATCACAAATAGATATGGATTTTCTCATGGAACTACAAAGCATAATCAATCACATTCAAACATTGGAAATCCGCACCAAAGTATCATGTTGCTTCTATATCTCACTATCTACTATCTCCCCACAAAATATGGCTGGTTATATATATATATATTCACACACTTCCCTTTTTTGCAGTAAAACATTCATCATGCATTCCACCTGAAACTGTTCGTCTCAACTGTTCATCTCCCCCAATCTCCCGAGGATCTCAGAGCCTCCAAGCGAACTCCTCAATCTCCGTGACGCCCAGCATCAGTGGTGGTTCCTCCATTCTCAAGGCGCCGCCGGAGAGCAATTTTCGGCGGGAGAGCAGCAGCTGCAAATGGTCCAAGTCCTAGGTTGAACGGTTGTCGTGAAAATGTGTAACCAATAATGGGTACTAAGAATGGTTAGGTTAGGTTACTAATTCTCAATAATGGTTAGAGGGTTGTACAAATTATTCAGAATTAGTAACCATTATGTACCAAACATTAATAATCATTACCGAGGTGGGCTCTACCAGGGTTTTTAAACTGTTTTTGACAAAGGACAAACATGACCTTGAGGTGAATTGAAAATACCAAGCCGTTGTTCAAAGATATCATTAGTCAGAATTAGTTATGGCCCATAACAATTATAAATCGAAAAAATGGGAATAATTATAACTCCTGCAACTAGTTGGTCAAAATATCACTTAAATGAGGTGACAAGTCAGTTTACTGGCAAAAGGGCTATAATTATAAAAAGATATAAGACCCATCATCTGAGATTTTGCCTGGCAAAATGATGGATTGAATGGGATTCAAAGAGAAAATTATAGAACATTATGATAAATTTAATGGCTGAGGATTGTAGTGGGATGGAGGGATATTCATGATGGGAGATTACAAGGGGAAATTATGGTTTAATGTGGGGATATAATGGTGATATATACTGTGTGTGTTTGTAAATATATATATATATATTATACATATACATGTTTGCATATATGTATAGTTTTTTTTTATGGCTGATATATGGTGAACATATGTCGGCTTGACTCACAGTTACCATGTCGTAATATTGTGTTTGCGTTAGTTGTAGATATATGTATGTATAGTCAGGGGGATACTATGGGGATTATTATGCGATTAATTAATATGTATAGTATTGGTATCATCATCATCTGGGTCTAATTTTGAAGATACGATGGTGATACCCAAAAAGCTTTGTCATGATGATCATTATCCGGGTCGATTGTGGAAACGCAATTGAGGGGTTAGAATACAATCGTCATCATGGGGGTTATAATGTGGGTTAAGCATCAAAAGTAAACCATCCCCATTTTTGCCATGTGTGTTGGATAAACCATCAGAATATGGGTGGTAAAGATTCTGGCGCTTTACCAACATTAATGATTCATGCTGTTTTTTCCTACTGGACATATAACATCTAGATAGTAGTGGTGGTGACATCTGGTGATTGGGATGAATGGATCGCTGGTGATTGCTCGATGATGGATTCCAGAAACCCCTCAAAAAAAAACACGACAACGACAAGTAAAGAAAATCACGGGAATATTGAAGAATGACACACCAAATGCGTAAAATAATCAAGGTCTATATGTATGTATTCATATGTGTATATATATATATTATTTATATCCATATTATTTATATACATATTATGGTGTGTGTGCGTTGTGCAAACATTGAAAGACTCATATCATATAGGTGGCATAGCAACATACCACGGAGCTAGGCTGACTGGATGATATGTGTGGGATGTCAAATTAAATGGTGGGTGCATGTGCAATGCCGCATATCTCATTGACATTGGGATAACACAAACTGTTTTAATTGGAACGCGCTGTCTTGATCCTGTTTTAATATGATGTTGGTCAAAAATGATCAACTACTAATGATGTCCTATCCTCATGCAAACATTTTTGTAACAGAAAATGATCACTGAATTGATCAGTTGGGAGTTGAATCCCGTCATGCAAACAACATAACATTATCACACAAGATCACCGAGCCTAGGTATACCTTCGAAGAAAATATGTAGAATATGCTTGTATATAGTGGTTCCGAAGATTACGACAAAGTCCGTGACGAAGCCCCAACCAATACATAGAAAAAAAAATAAAGCCATCCCCCAAATCAGATTGTGGCAGACATGCAGAAGGTGACAAGTTGGCTGTGGTTTTCGGGTTAGCCACATCCCATCCCCATAGTCTCCGTTGGCCACTCCCTGGGACACAGGAGGCCCCCTGCATCTATAGGGATTAGCCACGTCTTCTGAAACGTTTCACTCACACATACACACACATGCTTGGGGATGACTCATTAAAGCCGATGCTCTTAGAGCCAACGATGAAAAATTGAGCAAACAGTTTTTTCGTGCTAACATCAGCCAGCAACCACTTGGGGATGTGCCCTGTGCAACTCCGCCTGGTTAGTGGATGACCGGCAGATTCAAGAACATGGTACCAAACAATCGCATGTAAAACAACTTTGTACCAAGATCTCTCCATCTAAATGCTCTCCCCTGAAAAAAATATCATAAAATATCTGCAAGATGGTGTAAGTCATCACCTCAAAATGTGGGGGGATTGATTTACGCTTGTCCCAGCGACCAACACTTGGCCCTCCTGCGACTCCATGCTCTGTGTGGGGTGGGTCGTCATCTTCCTGAGGTGAAGAAATATCGCTTTTCGGACGCAAAATGTCCAAGTTCTTGGTGTTCAATGCCTTTTCACTGCAAAATACTGCAAATCTATAGAATGTTCATTGGATTATCGATGATTTTAATAGGAACAATGGGACACACAACATTATAATGCCATCCCCCTAATAACCTCATATAAAAAAATAGGACTTAATTGGTTCCAAAGATGTATACATCTCCTACTAAACCATGGTTTCTGGGGGATGTTGGATATTAGGGGGATGGGATTATCACCCCAAATTTCAACTGACCAAAGTTCGATCTCAACTCATACCGACTCATACTCAACATTTGAGCAGTGTTCAAAATCCCGTCATTCCATGAAATACTGTTTGGTTAAGAACGATTCCCCTATTGGATTGTTATAATCCCCAGTATAGAAGGTAGTAGAATCCCCTAGAATCATCATCCACTCAGGGTTTTGAACGCTGCTCATTTGCTGTATAGCTGGTCATCTAATGTCATGGCGTATAGCTGGTCCTCCAGTACCAGTGCTGCAGCGACTTGGATCAACGAAAAATACCCTCCGTGATTCAATGTGGCAATCTGTTGAAAGGCACACGTTTAGTAATAATTAGCTACTAAATGGTGGAACATCTAGTTAGTGGATACTGTAAATGACATAGAAAATAACTAGAGTAATCTACTCAATGATGGTTTTTTTACTGTTAGTTATTATGCTTTACGTAGTCAGAGTATCTGAAAAAACCCTCCAGTGGGATTTCTCAGCGCTGGATGGAGGTTTCCAATATTGGGGTACCCAAATAGCTGGATGGTTGAAAAAATGGGAAATCCGTGAAAATCCCAAACAAAAATGCATGATGACTGGGGGTACCCCCCATTTCAGGAAACCTCCATATTTGATGCAACGCCCTGAAGCGCTTCACGCCCTGACCGAGCATCGGAGCCATGGTGGACACGGCGTGGAACAAGGCACTGAAGTGGCGACGACTACAGAGATGCTCCGCGAAACTTGAGGAAAACTTGGCGTCACAAATGGCGCACCTCTCAGCGTTGCGTTTCGGATTTTTCTCCACCGCTGCCATGTGCACAAGTCCCATGACTGGTTGGAAAATCCCAGCAATAGTGAACCCAGATGGTTCATGGCGGATCCCACAGTTACTCAGTACCATGGATGGAAAAACTGTGTGATGGACAAAAATCTATAGTTGAAAATGGAACTTGTCCACTTTACAGTGATTATTACAAAATAAGATTTTATTAAAGTATCACAGTGATTATAGTAAATGTTATAGACAAAAATCTTCTTATTTACAAAATAAGAAGCAAGCAGTGTGATACTGTGATGCCGCACCTGCCCGGGTTAAAGAATCGATGCACAGCTGTAAGCGCGGAGTCTGTAGCCACATATTCCAACCAAAGCCTTGGTGAAGATTTTGGCGGCCGTAGATTCACCAAACAAAGTGACATTCGTCTGAAAAAGTCAAAAATCCAGTCTTAAACCAGGGAAATCGAAGGAAATTCGATGGCCAAATCTATCCATTTCTCTTAATATCTTTACCCCGATGAAAAAAAACAGTCACCAAGTCACCTCCATGCGAAGCTTTCGATTTGAAGCTGGTCAGGTTCAGTGTCGGGCTCCAAATAGGGATACATCTCCCAGTCCACCTGCGACGGAATCAACAGGGGAGATACTTCCAATTTGTACTGTACCATCTCCCACGTCTCAACTACAAAGAACATGTAAAGGAAAATCATGGCTATCATCATGTCTCCATGTAATTTGGGGGAGCTCCTAAAATTGGAATACCCCAAAATCATCCAAAATTGAGTTTCAGTGTCTTTGGTGATACCCACTGTAAGAATTACTCATATGTGCCATGGTCAAAGGATGTTTTTGTTTGGGGCATGGCCATCGTCATGAATGGGAATTCTCGAGGGAGGGACAACCACTCTCCTTTTTTAGTGAAAATAAACCATGTGACTTGACCATTGCACTCATTGGAAATATGTTATCAACAATATATATATATATATATGTGTATTGATATATTATCATATATATATATTATCATATATATATATACATTATCATATATATATATTATCATATATATATACATTATCATATATATATATATTATCATATATATATACATTATCATATATATATATATATTATCATATATATATATATTATCATATATACATATATCATCATATATATATATATGTGTATTGATATATTATCATATATATATATACATATTTTATCATATATATATATCATATATATATATACATTATCATATACATATATATTATCATATATATATATATTATCATATATACATATATCATCATATATATATATTATTAGATATATATATATATTCATATATATATATAGTATATATATATACATGTTTCTGGTTATGACTATTAAAATATTGACTACAAGTAATGCTATATACATATAATATGGTACTGGTACTATGTATACATATATATATATGATACATATGTATACAATATTCATAATTACGTATGTATATATGTATAATTGTTATATATGATATCAACAACCATCCTACCCGGCTTCACTTCATTGGCCCGGCCCGGCCTGGTGCCGGCGCGTGTGGCCAGTACCAAGGTGTTCCTTGAAGAAAACATCGCCCGAGTCCAAGGTTGAAGGGCTTGGAAGTCCAGTGAGCAAAGTCAAAGATGTGGACCTTTCAACAGTATTGGGTTCCATGGATTTCTGTGGGTTTTTTTAATGGCACCTGGAGATTCATTCTCCTCGAAGAATTTTTTGGAGTTTCCGCTTTCCAGTGATTTCAGGAGTTTCAAGTGTTTCATGTCATTTGACAGTGCGACACTGCCAAGTGGGACCATCCCCAACCCTGAGAATCTGAAAATGTTAGCTCTCCGTCATTTTGGGAGTTGCGGATATTTGCGCGAGTTTTGTGGAAATTTGCGGGATTTTGCGCGGGTAATTCCAATGTTTTCGGTGGCAGCTTTCACTTTGCTCAACCCCTGGACATCCAATTGCCTTTCCAAACACAGTGAGCTTTAGGAGTTTCAAGTGTTTGACGTCAAAGTCAAAGTCCATCGTTTTCAGAGAGTCAGCAGGTAAACACAAAGAGAAGTCAGGGATTTTTCCAGGATTTTGAATCTCCAGGCAATAGTTAACAGTTCATATTTGTTTTTTTTCGGAAGTTCTTAGGATTCATATGGATGAATCCTTCCCTGCACCGACCATGCGGGATGGTGGAAATGGGATGACCTACCGCCCAATGGAAGCTTTACCTGCGCTAGAAAACCAACCATTGGAGATAGAGAGCCCCCTCAATAGATGGTAAATGATGGTAAGAAGCCCTTTAGATTGTGGTTGTTGCAGGTTGCTGCTGGTTAGCCGAAAAAATGAGCCTTTCAAATCCTGTTTTGCCCAAAGCATCAGCAGCCCTAATTCTTGGGTTCCTCTGATACTGGGATGTGGGTTTATCTTAAATTTTTGGACAACACGTTTGAAAGTCAGTGGTTTGACAACCAAACCAGAACTAATCATCATGATTAGATATAATAGCCCTAATTTTCCATGTGTGGAATATTCGTTAACATTTAGCCCAAACAATGACCCAGTTTTGTAAATGTTCCCTATTTCCAGACCAACCTATCTAGGATATAGGTATGGGGTACGGGGTATGCATCTCATGCCATGGGAATCCAAACATCAAGGGCCTATAAATTCCTATTCCTATTCATTGGGTGGAAGGGCATGAAGGACCATCCCCACCTATCGATGTTTCTATACACATACAGTGTTAGGTCTCAGCTTCAGCCCGTCAAAAACACAAGAGATGCCAGCTTTTTGATGATGACGACGACGTCGATCATCATTATCATCATCATCATCATCATCTCAGGTATTGGGCAGTATTGGGCAGTATTGGGATGAATGAGTAATATTGGGAAAAAGTTTGAAACCACCACGACATCGCTGCCTTCGCAACGCTGAGGATCGCAACTTGGAGGTTTTGGAGGGCGGAAGCACCTCAAGGTCACATGATGTGCGGGAGCCATTGAGTAAGTGGATAAATGTGGATGATATTAGCGGCTTATATGATACTACAGTTCCTACAGTATCAAATATGATAGTGATATTATCAAAAATCATATACTATCATACTATCATTATCCCAACTAGTAATAATGCCATCTATATAATTATCATAAAAAAGTAATTGAGGTTTGCAGTATCCAGTTCTCCACGCTTATCCCATGTAGAAATGCGGTTATTGCATTGGGTGCGAACCAGAAGCAGGGCTAAAGGGTGGTGTTTAGACTCGACCTTCCCAAGTAAATTTCACACAACCTCTCAACACCTATGGGGTGCAGTTCCATTTATAAGAACATATTTCACCACAGTTATAGGATAGTTATACGAGCCCATGTGGTTATATCATGTTATATCTCAACTTGTGGAGGAATTGCCACGTTTATCATGGTTTATCACCCCAACTGCACCTCAAACCCGGCCAACTCATGCAGTCCGAGTGCTTCTCTCCTCATCAAGAGCTTCGGTCTGGTTTTTTCCCAGCCCGACACTTCAACCTGTCAAGAACATGGCAACTTCACCAAACAAATTTCAATGATTCTTACCCATCAGAAGGACCCCTTGTAATTAAACAGGTTGACCGGTTGTATCCCAGCCTAGATCTACCCCGACTTGCCTATCGTCCCGGGGGCCCTTCTTGCAGGCAGAAAAAACAAAAAACAACGGTACCAAAAGCAAGGGATCGTCGCTTCCTGCAAGGTCAAACACATGCACAAGCACATCATGGTCGAGAAAGTCTACATAAATTAGGAAATGTCAAGCATTGAATACTAAATAAACCAGCAACATGAACGACATTGGCGCATGGATATTAGCCTGTAGGTCTCAGGGAAAGAGTTTTTTGTAAGGTTTTTTGTACATCGAACATCCGGAAAATGAACATCACACATAAATATATGTCTGCAAATACCTGTCAGATGTCTGTATCCATGGACTGTACACGTAACGGAGGGTAGTGTCAACCCCACCGGAAAAAAAAAAACACATACAATCATTGGAGATCACCATCCCAATCATACTGTGGATGGTTGCGAAATCCTGCACGAGTTGATAGGTGGTAAACATCCCATTATTCATAGGGTTTCAACCATCCTATTGGTGGTTTATCGGATTTCATCCATCCACCGTATGGTTGAAACTACAAAAACGCTTGAGACCACCGACCCATTTGGGGCTGTCTCACCTGTCCATTGATGTGATTGAAGCGCAGGAAGTTTCCCGCCAGCTGCCAGCGTTGCCAAAAGCTCATGGAAGCTGCAACCTTTCGCAGCTGCTGGCAGTCTGGAAAGTGTCGCTTTCCCCGGATACCGGGAGGCTCCAAAATTGCAAAACTATAGTGAGGGAACATGATGATAATTTATTATTACCATAATCATGATCTAGTAATCCAGGTAATCCCGTGGAAGTTTGGGTGCCCCGCTTTCAAACAAATGCCACAACCGGTCAGTACTTTCAACGCCTTTTTGGTCGGTGTCCACACGTCACTGGGGGTTTCCTCATCCCGAGTTGGGGATTGAAACCCATTGAAGGCACATTGAACACAACTTGCTATGGAAGCCACGGCCCATCTAGTTCGATGATAAACATAGATTAAGCATGATGATGTGTGATGATTTACTTCTCTAATTTTAATGGTGGTTTTCCAACATCGACACCGTTAAATACCCTCTGGTAAACTAACATAACTATGGAAAATCACCATTTTTAATGGGAAAACTCACTATAAATAGCCATTTTCAATAGCTATGTTAAATTACCAGAGGGTAACCAGAAGGTAGATCCATTTTCATTTCTCAGAGGATCTTACTACGATCTGAACAGGTTGCGGAGGCGCCGGCGTGTTGGATCGTTTTCTGTCCAAATATCGTACTGTTGGGGGGTGCCCGATAGCTAACAAACATAACGAGCTTATAATGTCATATAACTATAATACTATAATATACTATATTATAACTGTTGTTAACCCAATAAGTATTGTTTATGGTAGAAATATCATGATATATCTCTAGATAAGTGGGTATGTAAGCTAACTTTAAACTGGTTTATCCATGCTGGTCATAATGTTCCTATGTTTCCCCATCCATCTTGGGAAAATAAACCGCACCGAGCCACGATATGTCTTCCCTCTGGCAGTTGCTGTCGCAGACACTCCCAGTGATGGACCTCCAGGGTTTCGATATAATCCCCAAGCCATGGCCATCTTTTACCGTCTGGTCATTGAACATGGCGAACTGGAAAATCCCTTATCAATGGAGGTTTCTAGCTGGGAAAATCATCTATTTCTATGGGCCATTTTCCATAGCTATGTTAAATAACCAAAAGTTAACAGGAAAAATGATGAAAATCACCAGTGGATGCAGTAGAAATGGCAATTTTAGCACCCAAATGATGGCGATATATGGCGAGAAAAATGGCGATATGCAAACCTGAGGTCTGCGATATGGACAAACCGCGGCACCAGATATGGCAAACATCGTCGTTTTTTTTATTCGTGATTTTCTATTGCTTGTGCGTTGCATAACTGTCTTCCCAAATTGGTGACCTTCACCTGTCGATTTCATCGAACCGTACTATGGTGAGCCCACACCCCAAACACGTGTGTGGCTGGCCAGCGGTGATCGTATGCTGGGATGTCAAGCTTAACAGAACGCAAATACATGTCGTTGCTGGATGTTGTTTAGGATTTCTTACATTTTCTTACCAAGTGTGACCCCTTCATGTCAACCTAGGCCCAAAAGCCTCAAAAGTGGGCTGTTGATTCACATTGAGATTGAAAAAACCAGGATTCCCTCAGATTGATGGGTTACTCTCCACATTGATCATTCCCTGTCACAATTTGGCTGTGGACGGATTGCCTCCAGCAAGTGCTTTCCATAGCCTTTGGGAAAGTCTCGCTTGCAAACCATGCAATACCGAGGCAGCACAAAGTCACAAAGGATCTGCAGGCTGCCATGCACAGGAAGGGAAGTGAAGCAAATACGCTCCGTCATGCAAACTGCAGAAATGAGAAACCAAGAAAAAAATGAAATGGTATGTTGATACACTAGTTAGAGGAGGAACCATCCAAACATCAGCAATTTAGTCCCATTGCCTTACTCTGAACAAACAACAAAATTCACTGAATTGCTGTCGATTTTTAGGGGAAATTGTTTTAGGACCTCCTCCAATTTGAAACCAAATGATGAGGACATTTTGAACAAGGATATGAGGTGTGTTTTGATGAACTTGATGGTATAGAGGTTGCTAAGCTGATTGGTGAAATTTGGAGGGGGCGGTCAGGGACAGTACCATCATGTTGCCAGCAATGACCCTTTTTTCACGTGATTGCAGGTGCATAAGCCATTGATTCCATAATTATTACTACCCTCTGGTAAACTAACATAGCTATTGAAAATGGTCATTTATAGTTGTTTTACCCATTGAAGATGGTGGTTTTCCATAGTTATGTTAGTTTACCATATGGTATATATTAGTTAATGCTGTTGGTTCATGTTGGATTCAAAATCCTGACATCCCTGCTACATACCGAAATATGTGCTGATATGTCTATACGTATCTACCTAATTTAATCTGATCAGATCCGATCTGATGGAATCAATCCATCCGTCCGTCCCTCCATCCATCATCGACAGTTTATGTATGTATATTACATACATACGCAATATATTTGTACACAATATATATATATATATAATTTCCAAATATATACAGTAGCTTTTTGAAATACGATATATATATATAATATACTACAAATAAATACAATATATACAATATATATTTATAATATATATATACAATATATATTTAATATAAAACTTATAATATTTATATACGCAATAGATATACACAATATATATATATATTACTATATCTACACAATATATATAAATATAATATTTAGTATATACAATATATATATAATATTTAAATATACAATATATATATATACATATCATGAACATATATGAACATGGTGTACATTAAGTGTATATATATATAACTGGGCGGCTTCGCCCGGCTGCGCCTCTTGCAGCGCTTTGGCTGCAGGCTTCATCGTCCCCTGGTGGCCACATGGCCAGGAGCCACGTCACTGGTGGGATTTACCATGGCCCAATTGGGTGACTGGAAAAAATGAACGAAAATTCACATGGAACCACAATGGCACATAGTCTCTGGAATCTGGGCCATTTTAAGATTGGATAATATGGATATTCCATGTTTTATTTTGGCTGGTTCGAAACTACACCCAAGTCGTGGTTTGAATATGTCCTTTCCTGTTGAGTTTATCACCATGACTTCACTTGCCACACACCCTGACTAGAAAGAATAGTAAATCGTATCACTTTGGAACGCCAGGACTGGTCAGCACCACATATCCATTGTATTTCTTGGGAGTTGGGTGTAGGCCAGAAATTGACACCCATTCACCCTTCAAGTATCCAGTTCGAACCCTTATCCAACCAAATTTGCAAAGATCCATGTTGCAAGTACTGGCATTCCAGCCATCTGCTTTCAGTACTATGTAGTTATTCAAAGAAGTTCGATGCTTTTCAGAAGTTGACACTTCACAAAGCCATGACCATTATTCTACTGGTGCCTTTATAGGGATGTTCACTTCATGGTGATAAGCCCGAACACCGAACACCCCCATAGTCATTCACCAACAAGGGGTTTTGAAGCCTGCCCGGACCAAGCAGTTGTTGTGCATCAATCAATATCATCGATGGGGCTTCAATCTTCTACGAGTCGCTTTTATTTGCTGCTGAACATAATTTACTGGTGCTAAACGTAGGGAATGGGGGAATGATCTGATACATTTTAGTATCTTCACAATCATCCCAGCAACCCACATTCCCTACTGGCTGCCATAAGCCATTCCCAAGCATCCCCATAAATTGCATCTATAAACCATTCCCAGTCATGGGAGTTGTGCACATGGCAGCCAGGCTTTGCATCATTTATCATTACAGTAGTCATCATTAGTCAAACAGAGTCAAACAATATCCATTCGTCAAACTTTAACATACTTTAACTATGTAGCTATGTTCATTTATATCCATGTTAGTATATAAATATACATAAATATATATAATATATATAACCCATGAATCCGCCTGGTCGAATTAAGTTTGACCCGGGCCAGTTTGGCAGAGGCGTTTGGTGGAGAAACAAACATCCGGCGAAGGTAAATTTAGTCAATGCCGCATTTGAAGTCGCTCCCTAGCTCGGGGATGCGACCAGCGAAGGGCGACCAAAGTTCTCAAGGGGGCCCCGCCCCCCCCCTCCCGCCCCCCCTCATCTAAATTAGATTGGTTGGTGTTTCTTTTCGTGATAATAGCTAACGCCTGTCTGATACGTGCCATTTGTTGGACAATAGGATATTGGATACCATTGGTGTTCCAACCGACCCTAGCAATCATATCATTAATGGGATGGGGCCATTGACGAAGATGCTGGAAATGGGAACAGAACCAATAGATGTGATCGGTGGTAGGGCAAACCTCTTTGTGACAAAGCGCGCAATGGGTAAGTTTTTCAGCAGTGAGCCGCCGTACGCAAACCACCAGACAAGACAGCAGATTCATGACCCGTGACGTGCTGAGAAGACTGATGGAGAGATTCGACGAGAGAAGAGGTAACAACGAAACCGGACTGTCGTGCCACCTGCGCATCATTGCGAGAACATTTGAGCCAATTCTCGAGACGCATCATTCGCCAATGTGTGCGTAGATTGTGTGTAAGACGAGTGCACCACAAAGGGAAACAAGACGTATCCCACGACCCCAGGGACCAAGTGACCCGACCCGAATTATCAAACCGACAGAGGAGTTTGGACAGGGTGGTACGCAGAGACTTGATCAGAGGGGTATTGTCATTCCAGGGGACATTATGGTGTTTTGACCGCCATTTGGTCAGAGCCACCAGAAAGTTTGGAGCAACAACGAACTGCAAATCAGAACGATGACCCACAAAATGAATTTACGGAGATCAGTGGACGAGTGCAGGTGGATGTAAGGATGATGAACAGCGACTTTGTACGCCCGATCCAGAATGACATTACTGGGAGACAGGCCGTTGAGAACCCAACCCCAGGACGCTTTACTGCTCAAGACGAGAGAAGCAAGCAGTGCACGAAATTTACGCGTGACGGGGAGCACACCGATGCGACGAGCGATCTTAGCCAGACCATCAGCACGGATAGTTTCATTGAGAGTAGGAGACCGAGGAAACATGCCGAGAGAGACCCCAAGCACAGTCCCAACCCGAAGAGCCTCCCAACCCTGCTGTTTGAGTGATTCGCACGCATCCCCCGAGCGCGCAATGGGCTGGGTTTTGCGAGCACTAGTGCGCATGCGCGTGACATCTTCCAGCCGTCGCCAGAGATGAAGTGCGTGCGTGAGCTCCTGCATGTTGCGCGCAAGGATAGTACGGTAGTCGATATACAAAAAAGTTTTGGCACACGGGACGTGGCGAGTTTGGTACCGTTGGACAATATATAGACAAGACCAAGGACAGCGCGATGGGAGACCAACCGTCACCCTGAGGAATGCCCTTAGAATTGACCAAAGGTTGGGGGTGTACCGTTCCATTAAAGCTACACCATCGTTTGTGATTATCCCATTGATAACGAATGAGGTTACAGATTTGCAGGGGAACCCCAACATGTTCCATGACATGAATCGGAAGGATGTATTCCATGGAGTCAAACGCTTTTTGGTAATCCAGGGCCAAACAGTAATCGTAGTCCCCAAATTCTTGGTGCCAAGAGATAAGCAAATCCTGAACACTAGGTCCCCCAATACCACCGGATTGATATGGAACCAGGAATTGAGTGAGGAAATTTCTGAGATGGGTCAATCGGATACGGGTCCAAATACGATATACGATACAGATGGGTCTCATATCAAGTGGGCTAGGCCATTGATTAGGCTTTGGGAGGAATACGATTCTCCAATGAGTCATACTGGATGGTCACACCCCTTTGTTTCACACAAGGCATAGAGCTGAGCCAGTCTGATTGAGGCCGGTTGAGGGAGCTCAGCGATCCACCTAGCTTCCCATCCGTCAGGTCCTGCAGCTTTGGAAGACATGTCCATAGCAGCTTTTTTGACATCACGACAATTGATTGTCGGCAAGTTAGGTGGATCGCGAGCATCCGGCATAGAATTCGGGAAATGGTTCACGAATGTTTGGACAGCAACCTGGGGGGTGTTACAACCGAAAGTGTCGCCCCAAGCCTGCGAGAGAAACTCCACAGCTTGAACCGGGGAAGTGACGACATTGCCATCACCAACTTCAATGACCATGGGCTTGGGAGATTCGCGTTGTACCCACCTGCATGCCCCAGGGATGGTATGCACGAATTTCTTCCACTCAGAAACTCGTTGGTTTTTGGCGTTGGTCTGAATCAGACCTAAACGCTCAGTAACGAGTTTGATCGCCAGTCCCCACGCCCCGCGTTTGATGGCACCACGCTCAGCTTGAGGGACAACACCAGTGCAAATCAACCTGTTGCGTAGGGGTGTGGGGACTGGTCGTCCTTGGAGTTGTAAAAAATGAGCGTAACAACCTTCGGATTTGTCTTTCATCAAGGCTCTGCAAGGTTCCCATGCGGTGAGCTCCAGAGAGCAGTTTGGGGCTTTCGGCCAAGGTCTTTTCAGGATGGTGTTCCTGCAACACTCGAGATTTCACCAGCCATTCCTCGGCATTGGAAGCCCACATTTTAAAAGCCGTTTCGGGGTCTTTTAGAGCTTCGCTCCAGCGTTGATTAGAAACAGCAACATCAGTCCACTCAACTGGCTCAGGAGTCTCCTGATGAGAGGTTTTTCGAGGCTTAGCGAACCGCATGAGCGGGCGGCCACACTTGGTCACCCGGAGATTTAAAATGGATGTTCGAAACAGGTATGCCTGACAGGGATATATTTGATGGAGGTATGTAGTGCAGGGAGCAAGCAGTCTGATGGAGGAAAGTTTGTTGGTCTGTGTCTGGGTTTGCAGGTTCGATGGCTAAATGGAGGGGGCCAGGAGGAGATCTCGGGGAAGCTCAGCGAAGGTAAGAAGGCTTTGGTAGAGGCGAGTTGGGTAGAGGTAACCTTGGGTGAGGTGAAGTAAGCGGAAAAGAATTGACCTGCGCTGGGATTGCGGCCTGCTGGATGCAGCTAAAAAGAAACAAGCTTGGGGGTGCTAACTCTGGTGACCATCCGCGCGTGCGCGCCCGCAAGCAAGCAAGCAAGCAAACAAGCAATCAAGCAAGCCTAGAGACGAGCAAGGCACCTGGCAGCCACACAAAAGACGGCTAAGAGGCCAAGTTTGATAGAAGCCGAAGGGATGGAGACGGGTTCGGGGCAGGCAACGAACGATTGATGGAGGAATGTTGGATAGGAACGGGCCTGTTCTGATAGCGATAAGCTTGATGAGCGCGGCGCGGCCGATGGGGGGAAACTTGATGCGCAGATCAATTGGCTAGACTGCTGGACGTAAGTTTGAAAAAAGTGTGTTTGACAAGGGGCCTTCAAAGTAGAAAAACATGGTTTGCTTAGTTCGCTGGTTTGCTGGTAAAAATAAATTTGAACGTAACAAAATTAGCGTTGATTGCCAGGAAGGCGGCAGAGGACCACAGGACGTAGACTGGAGAAAAGGGGCCTGCCTGGCATATTCGACTGGCGAAAAGAATACTTCAATACTGCCCCGCCTCTGATCCTCCGTGGAGAGCGCGAGGAACCGCTGGATGGCTTTTCGCGCGGCCCTCTTTGGCTTGCAGTCTTCCAATCCCTGCTCTTGCAGCAAGCACGTGAGTGCTTTGCTGCTTATAGGATGACAAGTCCACCCGAGGCACTGCATCAAGAGGAAACGGGCCTGTCATTTGGTCTGCGCCCAGGAGACCGAGGATAAACTCATTCCGAGCTCCAAGGAGTACCTGTCCTGAGCGGTCAACCGCAGTTTTCTTAGAGGGCACACGCGTAAATGACCAGTAGTACCGGACAAGGCGGCGGCGGAAGTTTCAATGATAGGAAAATATCGGACAAGGAAGGTTTTGCGATTGAAAGTGGGTCTCTGGAATTTGATTTCTTTAGGTGGATCCATATGTACACAAATTGTTTGAATTTAACTACTTCATGTTTTTAATTAACTCGCAGATAAGCTACTTTTTCGCATCTAATTCCAGGACCAAGGAAATCGGATATATATATATATATATTTATTTATTTATTTATATATATATATGTGATAGCATATCGTTACGCTCATACCATAGCATGCAGTTCTATAAATGCGACGACTCCGAAGATGCATGTATACACAAGGTCTTGCTTTATTTGATTTTCTTGGGTTTTGCACGTTCATTGAAACTGATATATGGTGTTTTAATTCATGGTGCGCAGCATTCTTTCCAATACCAGACAAAAGGAATTGGAAGGAATCATGAAAGCCAGTGCCAAACACAACATCAGATTCAGAGGCGCGATATCAATGACTAATGAATTTTTAACTGCTTATCTATTTGGATCCAACCAGCAGGGAATCCATCCAATGGCAACCATCAGGATCCATTTACGATACCAAAAAAGGGATAGGCGGTGTTGATTAAATCTGAGGATCTCCCACGGGTTGAATAGATGATTTTCCCCAAACATTTTGCATTGTGCTGAACGCGCAGAAGTATGAATACGTAATTTTCTAACCTTCTAAGGGGTGAACCCTAAATTAAAACATATTGACATTGATGTCATTAGTTTGCATATTTTGTGGGTGGGCCTGTGCCGCCTGTATTGTGGGACTGCAAGCCGCCAGCAAAAATAAGAACAAAGTGCGTCCTGCGGTTGATAATGGGTCTTGAGATAGGCTGAAAAAATTCGTCCTAAATCCGGGTTGAACGACCCCAAATTAATTGAACAAAAACCGTCAAAAACCTATGGATTTTGAGTTTTGGTCCTAAGTCCCGCTCGCGAAATGTACCCCCCTGAGATTGGCTGATTTTTTTTCGTCCTAAATCTAGGGTGTGAAGTACATTTCGTCCTAAGTCAGCCGCGCGTTTTGTACCCCCCAAGATAGGCTGAACCCCACCTCAACCCCAGGATTTAGGCTGATCTTTTTTTTTGGTCCTAAATCGGGGGGCGCGTTTTGTGCACTGGACTTCGGCCCGAATCCCATTTCGCCCCCAGCATTGAACATATCATCAATATCGGATGTTTACCACAACTCTCATGAGTTACGTTTTATCACGCGTGAACAGGATTTCAAACTAGAAATTTATGACAACAACTTAGTAAACACTTAAGATCATTCAGCGGCGTACTGTACTTTGCGCAGTCGTGGCGCCTAGATGAACACATTGTACTTATATAAATGCTTCCAAAGCTTGGATTCATCAATATTTAGCTGGATTAAAACCAAACGTTCATACTATTCAAATACATCATTTAACACCTTGAAATAGGAACCTTTGATGGCATAACATCTACTCAAAATAATGGACCTGGAATAAACATATAGATCTATGGTATATATATATATATATATCAATCGCCGCATGATACTGGGATTCTTTCAAACAACAAATGAGGAAAGCATTCAAAAATCAATATTTGGAAATTGAAATGGGGAATGCATTTGCAAGCGTTGGGGGTTTAAAATGTAAGGAGGGAATCAAATCCAAAACGAGGGGGGTGGAATCCTTAACGGTGGAATCCATATAGTATAATAATAAAATCTGATGAACGAGCAAGGAAATAAAGTCTGACATGGGAAAATCATGATGAATATGAATTTGAAAACGTTCGGGGATAGTCTGGATGGATATACTACTGGAATCTATGCGACCGTTATAGTAAATATTATGCAGCGGGCGATTTTGACAACAAATCTGGACTCCAGAAGTCTTGTTCCGGGAAACCAGAACGGATCAGGATACAAATGTATCTCGCTAGCATTTAATACGAAGGAAAACTTGGATACATATAACAAATCTCACAGTATCGAAAACCATGACTGCAAATTAGAATTCGAACTCCAAATCAAATTCAAACAGCCCTAGCCCTAAATCAAATACATTCCTTCAAGTGAATTCCGGCGATGCATGGATGGCAGAGCGAACCCACTGATGGACCGAAAGGTGGTTGGAGTTGTGCTTTTTGGGGTGGTTGCAGCGGTCACCTCAACCACAACTGCTGGACGTAGTGCGGTGTAGTGTAGCGCAATGCAATTGCAGTTACAGTTGCAGTTGCAGTCGCGGTTGTAGTTGTATTTGTAATGCAGTTGTTCTTGTAGCTGCAACTGGTGTTGTTGTCAATAAGTTATAATGTTGTAGTTGTAGCTTTACTAGTTGGTGTAGTTGTTGTAGTTGTAAGTGTAAACGTAGCATAGTGTATATAGTGTAATATAGTGTAGTGTACTGCTACTGGTGATGTACGGTGGTGTGGCGAAGTGGGGCGTAGTGTGGCGTAGCGTCGCGTAACGGAATTGCAGTTGTAGTCGTAACTGTGGCTGCAGTTGTAGTTGTGGTTGTATCGTTCCGTTTGTTGTTGTTGTTGTTGTTGTGGTTGTTGTGGTTGTTGTTGTTGTTGTTGTTGTTGTTGTTGTTGTTGTTGTTGTTGTTGTGTAGCTGTAGCTGTAGCTGTAGCTGTAGCTGTAGCTGTAGCTGTAGCTTTAGCTGTAGCTGTAGCTGTAGCTGTAGCTGTAGTTGCTCGTGCTGTAGTTGCAATGGTGTAGTTGTAGATGTAGTTGATGCTGCTGTAGTTGCAACGGTTGTTGTTCCAGGAAAAATAGAAAACATTAGTCTAACCCTAATCAGGAAAATGTTGCAATGGGATATATATATATATATATATTTATTTATATACAGTACATATATATATTACAATGTTCCAGGTATGTGTATATATATATCCCATGAATCCAACAGTAAAATGTCTAAATCCAGTCTGCCTTCCAACACGAATGGATCTCCAGCCATGGACAGCTTCGGCGATCGGCCCAGGGGTCCACGGAACACGGCCACACCGCTGCCACGATAATGGTGCCCTGGCGTCCAGCCATCAAAAACGTTCATGCTTTAAATCATGAATTAAAGCATATAAACAAAATATATACTATATATTATGGGTGCGAGTCAAAAATCGGGTATGGATCGCTCGGCGGTGATCCGTACTATGGATCGGGAGTGTTTACGTAAGGTGCCTGATCCGTACCCTTTTCGTAAGGGCTGATCATAGCATACAAACTGTGCTGATACCCCTACTATTTCCTACTTGCTTTTACTTCTCCTCCTGCTACTGATGCTGCTAAAACTGTTACCACTGCTAGTAGAGGGAGCAGTAAAAAAAAAAACAGCACCAGCAGCAGTAGTGTCAATAGAAGGAGAAGATGCAGTAGCAGTAGAAATAGCAGTAGCAGTAACAGAAGTACTAGTAAAAGTCATAACAATACTAGTATTCTAATGGTAGTAGCAGCAGCAGCTGCAGTAGTACTAGGAGTAGTAGGAAGAGTAGGAGTAGGAGTAGGGGTAGGGGTAGGAGTAGGAGTAGGAATAGCAGCAGAAGCAGCAGCAGCAGCAGCAGTAGTAGTAGTAGAAGTAAAAGCAGCAGCAGCAGTAGAAGTAGTAATTAATAGAATCGGGCTTTCATATTGGCATTTGTTGTGGCGTGACTGGGTTCGGGTATGGATTGGGTATGGAACGGTTATGGATCGGGGAATGGATCGGGACACGCTATCTGGGCCGGCGTTCCCGCTATGGCTGTGAAGGAAGAGAGCGGAGTATTTTCTAGCCTAGTCTAGTTCTACACGTGCCAGGCAAAGCAGAAACAGAAGGAGTTGTAACCGCAGCGCCACTAGAAGTACAAAAAGCACCTAGTGGAACTAGAACCGGTCTTACTAGCCTCCAAGGTGCACTTGCAATATTGCTAGTAGCTAGTCAACTAGTTGCATTTGTCCAACTGCCACAACCACACGGAGGAAGTGAACCAGCACCAGCAGCGGGAGCAGGACCAGCAGCAGCAGCAGCAGAAGCGACAGCAGTAGCAGCAGCTCCTGGGAGGACTAGTAGTGGCGGCAGCAGCAGCAGCAGCACGGAGGCAGCGGAGGCAGCGGAGGCAGCGGAGGCAGCCGAGGCAGCGGAGGCAGCGGAGGCAGCGGAGGCAGCGGAGGCAGCGGAGGCAGCGGAGGCAGGAGTAGTAGCAACGGTAGTAGCAACAGTAGTAGCAACAGTAGTAGCAACAGTAGTAGCAACGGGAGTAGCAACGGGAGTAGCAACGGGAGTAGCAGTACGCGGACCAGAAGCAGTACTAGGATAAAAAGCAGCATTAGGGCCAGCATAGTCTTTCTTCAACGAGAAAGGGGTATGGTTCAGGGGTATGGATCAACGGGAAAGGATCATGCGGTATCATAGGGTATGGATCAAGGTATGGATCGGGGGGCATGGATCATGTGTGGGCCCCGGGCCTTGATCCATACCTTGTATTTTGACTCGTACCCATATATAAATAGTATTAAATAGTCATATAGTGCATAATATGTCTAGTAGTTGTTTTACAGTTGCAGTCATGAACCAGAACTATGCTCATGACATGCCAAGGCCGCTCTGAACAGGAATCTTCCAACCAGCATTGAGGGCTAGATAATGCCAACGATAATGATAAGAAATGAGAGGATGGTCCTCACATCCTTTGGATATGGATGGATATGGATGGATATGGTGTAATATAAGAATTTCCATTACAAACCAACCATTTAATGGAGTTATAAACATTTATAAACCAACCATTTGGGGGTCCCCCATCTATGGAAACCATATGGTGTAAATTGGGGTCAACAGGACCTGCACATGGGCGTGTTTGTTGCACCCAGTGACAGAAAGCTCTTGGTGAAGATAGGCTAAGATAGGCCACGGATTGCTGCGCTGCTAGTGACAAGGGATCGCTACCAGTATGACTTTGGAAGTCCAAGCCTTTGCATTCGAAAAACAACGCCAACTTTGTTCAGATCCCCGTGTCGGGCGTTCCAAGTGCCACTGGTCACATTTGCCGATCTTGCGGGCAAAACAAGAAATGTCAAACTACGTAAAATCACTGTCCTTCATTAAACGTTGTACTGTGGCCAAAAGTTGTGTCGCTGATGGCCCATGGCCGGGTCAAGATTTGGCCCCAAAATGGGATGGTGCTAGCTACAAAATAATATACAATACCCTCTGGTAAACGTTTACATAGCTATTGAAAATGGCCATTTATAATGGATTTCCCATAAATAGCATGGTGATTTTCCAGAGTTATGTGGCTGTTTACCAGAGGGCTACAGTACTATGCTTCACTACTCAAAAGGTACCAAAATCTCTGTTTTTGTCTGGGTCTTCTTCGTTTCAAAAAACCATTTGATGCGGTAAACCCAAACTAAATCATACCAATTCTACATATATATAGCCCAAAAATATCCAAAAAGACCGGGATGGTATAGATATGTATAGATTACATTTACCTCATGTCTGCAGGATTCTAACGTTTCTATCCATTTCAGGGTTGCTATACTAGTGGCTCCATAAGGGAGATTTTTGGGTTTACCAAACGAATCCCACATCCCACCATCACACGACACGCGCCTCCGCAAGGTCAGACATTGCTCCGCGGGCAGACAGCGTTCTTTATTGGTACAGCACCTCTAAATTACAATGGCTTCTGATGGGGTTGAGTTGACCCGGGCTGGAGTTTCCCTTGCTGCTCTGGTTTCCCAAACATGGAAAAACGGGCCATGGGATTCATGCACAAACGATGGAGCTACTAGTGATGATTTCTCCCCAAGGAACTCCGGCGTTTAAAACGCCCTTTGGGAAATCGTCCCCACAGCTTATCAAGGATTCAAAGGCAACTTGCAGGCCTTTCACCACCTACTGTACAACACCTTCTCTAAATTACCATGGCTTCTATATCATGGATTTAGTTGACCCAGGGCTGGGGCTAGAAGTAGAAATTGTTTTCGACTATGACTAGTAGTATATTGCCTAAAGTTCCGGACAAACGTGTTGACTATGAATCACAAAGCCTGTTTGTTCGGCCATTACATTTTATTGACTTCTCCAATATCATTTGGCCATTAGGTTGCTATCACTTGTTGAAATGGCTTGGTGGAAGCGCCCCTCTCTTCATAGAAGTCCAAACCATGTAGAAGTAGACCACTTTCAAATCCAATTCAAATAGAAGATATTGAGGAATATTTCAATTTGTTGTTGCAAGAGTTGTCTCAGTTCTGGGTTCCGGATGGTGATGCTGGTCTTCCTTGGAGCCCGTTTTCCATATTATCTTCGATATGGTCTGTTCTGGAGGTACATAGACCGTACAATTCATATAGAAGTTGGAATTTCCTGAATATATTCTATCCTTGATGACCGTATTATAAATGTGGTCATTTATAGTCATTTGCCACTTTCTCGGTTAGTTCACTTAGGGCCATCGCTGCATTGCTGCATCCCAGTTGATTAAAATAAAGACGATTCCATTCGGAATGAGGAAATTGATTTGTCAGGTTGGATCTGATGCACGGTCAAAGTCTGATGCCTGGAATAAAACTTTGAGCCAAATGGCAACACAGTTTAGACAGTTGAACGTTTTGTTTTTTCGTTCTTTTCCTACTGTGTTTTTCCTCAGATGTATCACATATGCATCCATATGCTTCATGTAGAGAGTATTTACCTACAGTTGGGTAAGTTTTTGGATACATGTGGTAAATGGTAAATATTCCATACATGGAGCCATGGAGCATTCAGGTATGGATGACATGGGTACTATAATAGCGTTTGATCAATCCCAAGAAATCATCAAAGGGATAGCGTTCTCACAAAGCATTCAAAAGAAATGGAACATCCCCTTCAAGTTTGTGAATTTTAGATCTCTTGGACATAATACATCATCTATATAAATATCCGTAAATCATACAGAGAAAATCATCCCCAACAAGTCATCCAAGCCTGGGCCGATGGCCGGCGTGCTGAGAATGGGTGCCATGCCGGAAGAAATGGCGGCCGCAAGCGGCCAATGTGGTGATGCCAATCGACCACGAGTTCTGGCGCAACTTAGACTCATCCAATGTTGGGAGGTCAAACCGATACTTGGTGGTTGAGCCACCCATCTGGAAAATATGCTCCTCAAATTGTGATCATCATTGATCATCCTAGGGTTGACATCACTAACCAGCCTAAGTGGAGGCTACTCTTCAGATGCTGCTCCCTGTTTTTGGAATCATGCTGGCTCACCATTGGCCCAGCGGGACATGACTTTGACACTGACCAATGAGAGCTCAAGCACTGGGTCTGGCAACGTCGTTTAAAACCATTCAGAAGTGTTCATCACGGCAAATACTCTACGCATCTAAACGAGCCAAGTAAATGAGTTGAATATGTTGAATATAAATACCACGTTTGCAAACCAGCGGTGTTTGCAATCATGGTGTCCCTCCCCCCTAATGGTCGAGAAACACAAATGTCTGTGATGCAATTGTCAAAGAATCATCCCCAAGCAGGTAGCTTCAAAAAAAAAACACGTTTCACCACTAACAAAACCAAGAAGGTAGCAAATATGTTCAAATCCTTAACCAAGAGGTTATCAAATTCTTCTCAAATCAGGTAGTAGTAGTTCAAAATATATTACCCTCTGGTAAACTAACATAACTATAGAAAATCACCATTTTCAATGGGTAAATCAACATTTTCAATAGCTATGTTAGTTTACCAGAGGGTAATCCCATCATGAAATGGAAACACCGCGATGCTGAACCCATATTCCAAATTCTTCATTGCTACCCATCGCTTGCCATTCATGGAGACGAACGTGGAGTGGTACGTCAAGCATGCCATTGATGCTCATTTATGGTCATCTACGCTACCCTCTGGTAAACTAACATAGCTATTGAAAATGACCATTTATAGTTGGTTTTCCCATAAATAGCATGGTGATTTTCCATAGCTATGTTAGTTTACCAGAGGCTACATCTGGCTGAATTCTGTGTTTTTCTTGGGAGATAAGTGAATTCAGTGAGTATATCATGTAAGTCCTAACCTTGACAATGTGTAGATTTTTTTTAACGGACCTTAGGATGATTCGATTCGCTTAGATGGCCATTTGAGGGTAACTTCACCATGGACACCACCACATATACTTCTTCGTGTGCGTTATAAATATCCCAGAATCATATTATAACGCACTATGATGGATATATTATATCATAATGTGATAGAATAGATGATCATATTCCATATATAATGATATATATATATATATCATCTATTAAAAATCCCATTATGATCCCATTTTGACATGTGTCACTAGATCCAATTCATATCCTATTATCACATGTTTTGATCCGATTTTGATCCCACTATGATCCCTGCAAAGTTATCAACATTGATCAACATTGAACTCCACCCCAAGTCCGACACCAACAGGACCGCCACGTCCGTTGTTCTTTTTTTTTCGCAGCATCTTGCAGCCACGGTTTTTTTTCCTGCGCCCGGCTGAGACCAAAGACTGAAATGAAATATGATTTTACAATTTTAAATCAAACAAAAGAATGTAGTGAACCTTCTATAGAGAGATGTCTCTATAATATAGCAATACAACACGTACATATATCTAAAATTGAAAATGATTGCGCATTGTCAGATCTTCAATTCGCGTTTGTCTGAAAATAGGAAAAAACCCAAGTAAAGACATTGGCTAATCAACGGTTAATCGTATGTTGTTTCCTTTAGACATCATAAATCCGCTGGTTCAATATGGTTTAATTATTTCATTGTCATTAATCATTACTTCTCCCATATCCTAGGCCAAAAACAGTATTTGTCAGTCTTTCGCGGGGATGTTCCTATCAAAAAAAATGTAAAAACAGGTCCACTCCCCAACGTTCTTTTTTTTCCGCCCAAAACTGGGTCCACCTGACATCATTTCTTCGCTTTGCCTTTTGGCTTCCCCCGTTGCTTCACCTGCTGCGCCAAATGGATCTTAATGGATTGAAAACTTCCCCAAAATATGGTAATTTCATGTAAATTCATCGGTTTTGACTTTGACCCATCCTCATATAATATAATATATATATAATATATATATATATAATATAATATATATATATATATATATACTGTATATATACTGTATAATCTGACCTATGAATTGCTTTGTGCTTCAGCCTGGCCCTTTGCGAAAAATCCGTTGGCGAAAAATCATGGCAATCCCAGCAAAATGTATAGGTCAACATTCCACGTTTAGCAAAAAAATGGGAATGGAAAGTCCCACGTTTATGAAAAGTTTATTAAAATAATGTTCCCTGCCAGAAAGCTCCATTTCGTTCGAGGATTTCCCAGCCACTCATGATTGATTAAAGGGTAATCAGACTTGCCACCAAGTCATCAGATCTTGTGGGTGTCAAAAAACTGGGCAGGAGCTACATTTCCTGAAATATTCACGGGGAACCAGTTGGAAATGCCGACATTCCCAAGAGCTAAATGTCTTTTTGTGGATGCCAATGCTGAAGACGTGGGTGGCTTCCAGATCTTCCAGAATTGAAACCAATTTGACGATGCCATGATGACCCCAAAAGTGGTCAGGCACATGGTGCCTTCGATAGATTTTCCAGTAGCAATTGTCAATGATCAATGATGGAAGTAGATGGAAGTAGATGGAAGTAGTGGATCAAAATGATGCACTCCACAAAATGGGCATGGCACTGATGCAAATTGGCCTGCCAAGTTGAATAATCCATGATACATACGCCAATGTAGCCTGTGTAATCACGCATGATACATGTACCGAACCACACCTTGTAAGTGCTTTCTCGGTGTGGGTCTAGCTTTTCCAGTTTTTCCCCAACCATTTCTGAGAAACCTGAGATCAGGCATTAAGCAAGGACCTTTCTTGGGATTTTGTTGCCCCCTAATCTACCCATCATTCTACCCAGTTGGATGGTGCCAACCCTCACACCTTGCTGGCATTCTCCTGGCACGGCACCGTTGTGTGTTGGAAGAATGGAATACCCATCAAACACGGGAAACAAGTGATGGTTTAACTGTTTAACCATCAAAAAAGGCATTTCACGTGATTTAATCATGTTCAACCAGTGAATATACTGATTTGATGGGGAGAAAGGATGAAATTGGATGGAATGGGATATTGGGATATTGCCATCTGAACTAAGATAGACCCTGAGAATAGTGAATAGCTCATGTTAGAGGAAAGTAGTCTTCCAGCCTCCTATCTGGCAGGGTCTATGTAAGTGTGGGGAATATAGCAGCTACAACAACCATGATGGCATCATGAAACATGGGGGCACAGCCATCAGTCTTTGCCATAGAAAACCCTGCATTTCGTAAACGATGACTTTCCCTGGTCCTAGCTCCGACTCGCTAGTTCGAGGATTTCCCAGACAGCCACGTTTGACACCGGAGGGTAAAGCCCCAATTTGAGGAAGCTGAAGCAATTACCCTCTGGTAATTTAACATAGCTATGGAAAATCACCATGTTTAATGGGAAAATCCACTATACATGGTCATTTGCAATAGCTATGTTAGTTTACCAGAGGGTAAAACCATCTACTTTGTCTTGAAAGCTTTATCCTACTAGACTTCGGATCGCCGGGAAGGTTACCGGGTACACCATACCCATCGTATCCAAAATACAAAAGATCTGCTGACTTGAGAACCAAA